AAACCCTCACCTACTGCCTGGTTATAAAAGCAGCACTGAATGCCAGTGAAACTCAAACCCAAGTGTTAATGGGACTGGTGAAAGAGCTGAACAGCCTTGGGACATCTGTCCATGAACTGAAGAGAAAGCAGGTGATACAGAGAGAGAATGACCTGAAAAACACAAGTTGTTCTACTACAACACATCTAAACCGAGAGTGAAGTTCATGTTTTAGTGGCCCTGAGTCAAAGTCCTGATCCTAATCCATGAGAACGTTTGCTGATGTGTGAAAAACTCCAATAACAGTGAGTTTTATGTACAAAATACTACAATCAGACTGTCACACATCCAATGCAACAAATCCATAAAAGTTGTCTTTATTATTATTGATTATGTTAATTTCTGATGTTTCTCGTGAAGAAAAAGGAATAATTGCATGTGGTTGCTGAGCGGGTCATAAGTTGTAACCTGTGTTCAAGGCTCCCTGTGGAGCTGTGGGTTGGACATGGTGGCATGTGGTGCTTTTGTTTCTGTCTCAAATATTGATTCAGGTGCTGTTAAATGTTTAAACTGTGGAAGTGTGTCAGAGGCCACTGTATAGCCAGAAGCTGTTTTTTATTTTCTTTCCACCATCCCTGGAAATGGGGTCTAGCCCGGCCTTTCCACCAGACGCGTGAGTGGCGCGTAACATAATAGATGCGTTTTCACCGCAACCTCACTAGCATGTTCCTTCATACCGGGAGCGTTTCTGACATGAAGAGGCTGCAATTGTGTTCCTCGATTTAAAAAAAAATCACAGAATAGTAAGATTGTACATGGATAGGCAAGGAGGAAGACGACAGCATAAATCTTTTATTTTGAAATATTGATGGATGCTTCTCACTGCTCCCGTCTTTTATTTCTTGTCTTGCCCGATATGAACAGCGACATGCGTTCTGAAAGCGTGGGGCATGAAAAATAGACCTGAGGCATAAATCTAGCAGAGCGACACAACATTGTGTTCTGTCCGATATGTGCCACCGCTTGCCCATTGGAGACAAACCCATTTACACTAACGGCGATTATTTGTTACGTATTGTACCTCGCAGATGTCACGCAACGCTTCTCACATCCAATGGAAAGCCGGGATTAGGTCACCATTTTTAAATTTGTGAATTTTTAAACAAGGTTCTGCTAAATGTGGAGTCATTTACGAAATCCCATGCAAAATATGCAATAAAACATACGTAGGAGAAACCGGACGCCAACTCAACACACGAACAATAGAACACAGAAAGGAGTGTGAGAAGGAGGCGAGTCAAAAACACACAAGAGCAGCAAAAGAAGAAGCAGAAAGCACAATAAAGAAGTCAGCCGTAACAGATCACTGCACAAGAGAAAACCATGTAATGGACTGGGACAACACAAGGATCATAACCACCGAACAACAGAAATACAAAAGATGGATAAAAGAAGCTATCGAGATAAGGAGACGTGGATGTGGGACCATGAACAGGGACGATGGAGTTTACACGCTGGACCACGCATGGGACTGCAACGTCGGAGAGGGGAGAGTGGGCAGCAGAGGGCGACAACGTCCTCTGCTGCCCGCGGATAAACGGAGAAGGAAGTGACGCCACCATCAGCGTCAGCCTGAAGAAGCCGGCAGCCGCCGGCGAAACGTAGCGACAAAACAGGTAAACAAAACTGTTTCTGTGTTTTAAAAAAAGAACTACAGCATGGAAGGTTCTGCTTTCCTTTCATTTCCTGGTTTACTGAATGTGCTGAAACAGACATGTTCCAGGGCTGAATTTCCGTCCCAGTCCACCCCTGCTAGTACCTTTGTCTCAGTCGCTATGCAGTCTAACTTCATCCTGTTCTGGAAAGATAAATTGTGTTTGTTACATGTAACCATAGCCTAGCGTCTTGTTATCACGTAGCAGGAAAGATTCTTGTATATTTCCCAGTTATTGAAGTCTCAGTTTGCATGTTTACTCGTAGTTTTAACAGATGTTTCAGAAGCATAAAGAAATACACAATTTCCAGCTCTTAGTTTGAGATTACTCTGCTGGAAATGACCCACAATGCACTGCACACCTCGGATCCCTTTCCAGTCTACCAGAATGTGTATGTTTGTTTCTCGTTGTCCTTTTTTCACGCATGTTTGACTCTCTGCCCTATAGACGACCTCTGTTTGCCCTCTGGTGTTTTCCATTAAAGTAAAAATAAAGTTCTCAGAATTTGGTGTCAACCATGACTCTGTAAACATGTCACAACATTATAGGATTACTGTGGGATTGGATTATTTCTACTACGAAAGACCTTATTCTAATGTTTTATAACCAAAATTAAGTTTATTTTAATAGGAACCAGAAAAATTACATGTTAAGCAAATTTTTGATTAAAATTCTATCATTTGTTGTACTCGTAAGCTTTTTTTTAGTTCTGTAAGCAAGCTAAATAATTCTTTTGGATTTAGATTCATTTTAATCTGAACTGTGTTTTTTAATCTTATTACCTTGAGTTATTGTCTTCATCTCCACTCGTGCACGAGTGCTAATCCTGGTTCTGTGGATGATTATAAACTCAAGCTTCAATTTGATTTACACAATTAAAAACTAAAATGCAGTTATTTAATGTTGTTTCATTCAACTTTCAAAGAATGCAACAATTTAACCAAGAAACCCCTGCTAGTCTGGAACAGGGGTCACCAACCTGGTGCCTCCAGGAGCCCTCCGGCCTGTTACACTACAGATGCTACTTTTGCTTTATCAATCAATCAATCAGTCAAACAAACTTTATTTGTACGGCACTTTTCATACAAAAGAAAATGCAGCTCAACGTGCTTTACAGATTAAAATGACCCCATATAACCCATATTCCCATCCCTTCCCCACAAATATGAAAACAATTATGACAGTTACACCGCCCATCCCACAACCCATTTCCCAGTCACACACACACACACACACACACACACACACACACACACACACACACACACACACAATCTAAAAAACAGCATAAGTAAACATTAGGCTGAGTTCAGATGGGTTAGGTAATGAATGACACGCCATCAGGTGAGCCATCTGCCTCGGCAGCAGTTGATCGACAGCGGCAGCCGAGGCACCAACCCAGGGCACCCAGGGAGGGAGGGAGGAAACCCCCACCCCCGCCTAATCACTCCCTAGGAGCGCCCAGGCCGCCAGTCGACCACCATCCCCGAGGCAGAGGACCCCATAGAGGAAACACTGGTATGATTACAATAGGTGAAATGAAAAATAAATAAATAAAATTGCTAATATGGATAGTAAAATAACTAATAAAACCAATTAAGAAGATAGTAAAACACTAAAACATGAATGTCTAATACCACTAAAATGGAAATAATGAAATTCATTAATTAAGTAATTTAAAAAAACAGGCAATGCAGCTAAAACAGATATCAGTTAAAAGCTAAGCTAAAAAGGTGAGTCTTGAGCCTGCTCTTAAAAACATGAACATTCTCTACAACCCGAGGTCCTCTGGCAGCCTGTTCCAGAGACGAGGGCCATACAACTGGAACACCTCGCTATGGGTATGTGTCCTGACTTGAGGAATCAAAAGGAGACCGCTGCTAGAGGAGCATAGAGGCTGCGAGGGTTTGTAAGGTAAAAGCAGTTCCGAAAGGTAAGAAGGCCCAAGACCATTAATACACTTAAAAATCATTAAGACAACCCTAAAATCAATCCTGAGACGTACGGGGAGTCAATGCAGCAATTCCAAAACTGGTGAGTTTGAAACTTTAAGGATGCTGATAGAGAAGAACGGAGAAGGTCAGAAGGATGTGCATCCTTGTAGGTTTGAGAGAAAGCATAATATGGTGCTGAGAGAGGAGCTGTGGTGCATGAGGAGGTCTGAAGAGCAGAGATGTATGTCAGGGTGCAGAACATGTATGGGAGCTGTGAGACAGCAATGAGGTGTGCTGCAGGAGTGATGGAGAAGTTCAAGGAGGAGGTGGGAGTGCATCAAGGATCGGCCCTAAGCCCCTTCCTCTTTGCTTTGGTGATGGACAGGAGCCTCAGTGGGCTGTGATGTTTGTAGATGACGTTGTGGTCTGCAGTGACAGCAGGGGGGAGGTAGAAGAGAAGCTAGAGAGGTGGAGGTATGGACTGGAAAAGTGAGGAAGGAAGACTAGTCACAGCAAGACACGTGCAAATGAGAGGGACACAAGTGGAGCAGTGAGGTTACAGGAGACAGAACTGGAGGTTGGAAATAACAAGAATGGAAAGGATCAGGGATGAGTCCATCAGAGAGACCGCTCATGTTAGATGTTTAGGAGATGAAAGTCAGAGAGGACAGACTCAGATGGTTTGGACATGTCCAGAGAGGGGACAATGCTGACATGGGTAGAAGGATGCTGATGTTGGAGACACCAGGCAGGAGGCTAAGAGGAGATTTATAAATGTGGTGAAAGAGGACTTGAAGTTAGTTGGTCTGAGGGTGGAGGATGCAGAAGACAGGACTAAACGGAGAGAGATGATTGGCTGTGGCGACTCCCGAGGGGACACGCCCAAAGAGGAGTTTTCTTATCACGCTCACACTGACAGATTTTGAAATTTGGATGTTGTTAAAACATATGTTAATTATACATGAAGTTTAGTTCAACTTAAGCCTACTCCAGGTCAAAGGTCAGCATTGTGTGCTTGACAAACCTTAGTGTATCAACCTGGAAGCTCTTCAAACATCTCAGTAACTGTGAAGTGGCTCTCATGTTCACAAAGGTCGGTGACCCCTGCTCTGTTTCTTGCATTTGTATATCACGTCATGTAAACTCAGATGTCCCCAGCCTAGGATCACCGAGTTCAGACGCGTTACCGAAGGGCCTCTGATGGGCTGGAAATAGAAAAAAAACAGTACATTTGCTCGCCACCGTGGTCAGTCACCTCACGATTATGTCACCTGTTCAGCCCAATGTGATCGAAGTTCAAGGTTCAAACGTTAAACGTTTAACAAGAAAGGCCAACTTTTCATTGGTTTGTGTTCTTAAAGCAGACTGCAAGAGGTCAGAATGAGTTTATTTATCAGAACAAAATTATTACACGAGCGTTTTTACAATTATTGCACGTTAAACTCAGTTCAGAATGACTCTGAAGACATTGGAAAGCAGTTAGGGGCTTTGTGTGAGTTAATACATGAAAAACTGCAAAAATAGCAGAAACAACACACACATTAACTCACATTCAACAATAGTGGTTACCCAGAGTTAGCATCTGCACAGAGTAAATGATGTAACCTCTAGTGAAGTAAGGAGCATCTCCTGTGCAGAGGAATGAAGGCTGTTCATGATGTGTGCTGCCCCCTGCTGGGCAGACAGGGAAGGATCCAGCTGAAGGATGGAGATCAGGTTCCCTGGAGAAGCAGCTGAAGCTTTGTGTGTGTGATGGCTGGGGACTCGTGTCTCTCCTCAGAAGGGACTCGATGGAGAAGGGGCTGCTGAACGTCTGGCGTCTGATGTCGGTGCAGGCGGCGGCTCCAGGAGGAGGGAGATCCCGCTGCTCTTCAGGTGCGTTCTTTGAGGTCTGGGTTTCCACTTTAGAAGCCAGTTCAGGGAAGAGCTGCAGGAGTTCTTTAAAGTGACGACGAACCATCTTGGCTGTGATCTGACTGCAGTCCAGTTTCCAGAGGTTCTTCTTGCTGATGGGTGAATTCTGGACCATTGGGATCTGAGAAAAGCAAGGAGGTCCAGTTAAAAAGATGGCAGTCAGGTAAACTTGCATTGTATTTGTATTTTTTAAAAAAAGAAGCCAAAAATGAAGGAATAGGAGTGAATGTACCTTGGTGAAACATCTTTGGCTTGATAAACACTCTCTAATGCCCGACTCTGCAGATTTTCGCTGAGATGCTGTGGGGGCCAACTTCTTTATCAACTGAAACATGTTTAAATTCAGAACTAAATCGTACGATTTCATGTAAATCCAAAACATTTCTGCTCCTCCTCACCTGAGCGAAAGTGAGCATCCTGCCTGGAGCTTGCTGGAGCACAATAGCTATCTTTGCTAGCCAGGTGTGGGCTCCTCTGAAGGCCTCACCATGACTTCTACTGGCTTTGCTAACAAGAGGCGGCTTAGGTTCAGGTTGTTCCTGCATCCTCAAGGGTGTAGCGCTGGAATCCGGAGGCATCTGGGATCTGAGCGAGAGCGTGTGTGAATCTCATCTAGTCAGCTTCTAGATTTAAGGCCTGCAGGGAGATTGGGACAGTAGAGGGTGTGTGCTCTGCAGGCTAACGGCTCCTTTTCATGTCTGGATGAGCCGTTGGAGCTGGAGGTGGAGCCAGAGATCCAAGTGAAAGGCCTCTGCAAACATCTGCATCTGAATATGTGAAAGCAGCTGCTGGTATTTCCCTCACAAACACACGATAACAGAGGAAAGTTAAAATGCAGGTTTAAAATGAGAGTTTGCCTCATAAACATCATCCTATCTTACCATGAGAAGAAATAAATGAAAGATTCCACCCAGAAAGATTGAGTTAAGCAGCCTTTTAGGTTGGCATCAGAGATTTCTCCTGAGACAGTGAAGATAAAGATGACTTTGATGACAGAACAAGCTGATTTCACACATGTTCTACCATCAAAACCGAGGCATGAAGCCTCACCTTTAAGTGGAACCCTCAACCTAATTTTCTACTCTTCAGAACTGAAACATACTGATAAAGTCAAACATCTAGAGGTGTTTGTTCCTTTAGAACAGACTCAAGCAGACATGAATAAACACGACGGCGTCCCATATTTATTCTCCTGACGTTGTTTATGACAGCTTGTGTTGTCCTTTTAGAACTCACTGCAGTATGAAAGATTGTTCTGCTTCCATGTATTTAACAGACTTTGTGACTCAGTGGGGATCTCTAGAACTGTTCTACTTCTAGAACCTTTCTAACAGAAGTTACAGTGTCTGTAAAAACCAAATGGTGTCAGATTCTACCGATCTGTTCCTCGGGGTACCCCAAGGCTCTGTTTTGGGCCCACTCATATTTTTACTATATATACACTCTTTTGGACAGATAACTGAGTCTTAATGTCCTCTATCACCTACCGTATATGCAGATGACATTCTGTACTGCTCCTTTAAGAACTCTGAGTTTCATAAACAGTCTGGACTACTAAAGTATCTATCAGCTATCACCAGCTGACTAGAAGATAACGTCCTTCAGTTAAACTCTGAAAAGACTGAATGTCTGATCATTGCAACTGAGAGCACGGTTCTTCTGATTAGTCAACAACTTGGTCATTTAACTACTGCTGTCCATTCAAACTACCAATCAATGTCTCTTGAAGGCCACTCAAAAATGCTGGTCCAAAACTGTTGTGTCATTTGAGAAACATCTCCAAACTATGAAGGTTGGTGTCAAAACACAAACTTGAAATGGTTCTCCATGCCTTTATCTCCTCCCGTCTAGATTACTGTAACACACTCTTCACATGTTTTAACAGAAAGCCCTCGACCACCAGAACTCTGCAGCGAGGCTCCTAACTGGAGCAAACTGGTGACCCATAAACTTTAGAATTCAGGGTTCCACACATGATCAAGCTTCTCATTATATCACTGAACTGTTAATGCCTCATGCTCCAACACACTAAAAGCTGCTGGGTTCAAAATAACCCATTTTGGGTTTCTTTGTAACCCAAGTGCTGTGTGACACAAGTACCGAGCGAGCCATGGGTTATTTTAACCCACAGGGTTGGTTTATGGGTTTAACCAGGCTTATTGGGTTATGTTTTCCACCAACAAAATTAATTAAAAAGGCCCAACTGACCCGTTAAGGCAACCCAATGTGGGTTGAAAATAAAACCCAAAATCTGGGTTATTAAATGACTAATTCTTGGGTTAAAATGACCCAAATACAGTAAGATTACATAAATAATAAAATGCTAAACAGATAATTAAATGAGCAAACAAAAGTTAACATAACAATAAGAATATTTTTATTATCTTGTGAATTTTTTATTATTAATATAATTTACATTTTTATAATCTGACAGCAGGGGTGGTGATAATACACAAGTATTATAGATCAGTCTGCTCATGAAATGCAAGTATTTCACGTTTTAACTCAGAAGTATCCCTGAAGGACTTAGTTGTTCCTCCTTTTATCAAAACGCATTTTGAGCCTGAGAGGGTTTAAAGGTAAACATGCTTAACCTTGTGAAGGACAAGGCGCACACACACACACACACACACACACACACACACACACACACACAAGAAATAAATGCTTCAGTGATTGCTGCTAATGCACACGTTTATTTTATCATACATATCTTCAGGTTGAACCACACACAGGTATCTCTGCTTCCTTTCTTACCATTGACGTACTTTAGTCTACTTGATGTCTTTATTTGGATTTTGTTATTAAACATGCAGGAAATGCCACATTTTCTTTCAAAAACAGCAAATAAATCACCTTAAACCTGGAATATACTCACACGTTAACTTCATTTGATCACATTTTTAAGGCAGCGAGCCTAGAAGGTTTCTGTTTTTAATGACTGTAGCGTAAAATTATTTCAGTTTCAGGGAGAAAAAGACTGAAAAGTTTTGGGTTTAGGTGAGATTTCCCAAAATAATTTGTGGCTTTGCAAGTTTCAGCTGTTTGAGTTCTTTTCTGTCATTTCCTGATTTTCCTAAATGATCACAGACAAAACAAAGCATGGAAGAGGCTAGAAACCCTGTTTGTTAGCAAAAAGTTGTTTTCTTTTGAAGCTGATGTTTTCACAGATGTCCTTTAACTGATTGTCTGTTTATTGGAGATGTGTTTATGCGGAGTGGCTTTTTCCTCGACACACAGCTGCGTCTGAGGGGACAGGAAGTGGGAATCACTGGAATGTGGTCCACCCAGGAGCCACCCCACATTAAATCGTTACTCTGATCCTCACATCTTTGGAGCCATACACACTCATTTGTTGTAATTTATATCAACATTCAGTTCCAGACGATGACCACTCAGGTCCTGGAAGGTCAGCTGGGAGGACATCCTCCTGATCTCTGAGCGGAAACACTCACCTGGCTGGATCCCACCTGCCCACAGTCTCCTCCTCTGAACCCTCCCTTGACGCTCTTGTGGTTACAACATGGAAGACCCCTCCTGGTCTAAACACCATCACAGTGATGCAACTTGTGTGATGGTGAAACAAAGACAGGCGCTTGCGTATAATGCTGCCCTCTGCTGGGGAGAACATCCAGCTGGAGGATGACTACGTCAGTGTTTTTCATAAATGTTTACACATTTAGCTGTTGATCCACATAAATGTTTAGATTTATCATCCAGCCGGTGAGTTCTGAGATGCTTCCAGGATTTACAGAGCTTCGTCTAGAGCGTCCAGTTCTGATAAAAAGGGGTGGAATACTAAAATATCTGATGCAAGGGCGTAGGAACGAGTTTAATATTTGGGGGCGGGGGGGGGGGGGGGGGGGGGGGGCACATTTTGGAAATCTAACAAATCTGTTGTAGGTCAGCAGGTCTGGCTCACTGAAAAAAATACATTAAATGATTATTTCTGATTCTAACGTGTCACTGAGTGTTTCATGCAGGCTGAACATGAACATGGTCTCCTACCGCTATTAGCTTCTGATAGAAAATCTGACAGATGGTGAAACTCCAGGATTAGAAAAGTCTGACAGATGTGACTCTGGGTGTAAGGTAAAGCCCAGAAAGACAAGAAAATGACTTATAGCCCAGTTCACTAACATTCTGGGTTTTTGTTTTGATCGGGGAGCCATGAGCCAGCCAGAAGGGGAGCAGACTTAGGCTCCCCATGAGCCAGATCCAGGTGATTACCGGCCAACGTGGACGTTTTAATAATAAAAAAGCTGTTTATGTGTCAGTACTGTTTTATTTTTATTTAATAATATGAATGTAGGATATATTATCTTATTCATACGGGTAGATATGTGTAACCAGATTTAATAAAAGACTAAAGCTGTGAATATTCAGTCTGAATTGATCTGACTCTGTTCAGAATATTTTAAACTACATCAGCCAACAATGCTGACCAACAATCAGAACAATCTGTTTGTTTCTGACAGAATGAGAAAATAAATAATTCACTTACAACAACAGCTGGAACTACGTTATTATTCAGATGGAAAAAAGAAAAAACAGTGGCCAAAATTGCAGTCTAAATGCACCAGAAAGCAGAGTTTAACACTTGTTTTTCTAATATTTCTAAGGAAGCGTGTACAGAATGTAATTTATTCTTAAACCGCACTGCCCAGTCCTACTTGTTATGGAATTACAGATATTTAACTGTGTTCACTTATTATTACATTTAAATCTTCCTCTTATCAGTAACCTAAAACCATCTCACTCTTCACTGTCTCACCCTCAGCAGGACTGGCTCTCCCTGTCTCACCCTCAGCAGGACTGGTTCTCCCTGTCTCACCCTCAGCAGGTCTGGCTCTCCCTGTCTCACCCTCAGCAGGTCTGGCTCTCCCTGTCTCACCCTCAGCAGGTCTGGCTCTCCCTGTCTCACCCTCAGCAGGTCTGGCTCTCCCTGTCTCACCCTCAGCAGGTCTGGCTCTCCCTGTCTCACCCTCAGCAGGTCTGGCTCTCCCTGTCTCACCCTCAGCAGGTCTGGCTCTCCCTGTCTCACCCTCAGCAGGTCTGGCTCTCCCTGTCTCACCCTCAGCAGGTCTGGCTCTCCCTGTCTCACCCTCAGCAGGTCTGGCTCTCCCTGTCTCACCCTCAGCAGGACTGGCTCTCCCTGTCTCACCCTCAGCAGGACTGGTTCTCCCTGTCTCACCCTCAGCAGGTCTGGCTCTCCCTGTCTCACCCTCAGCAGGACTGGTTCTCCCTGTCTCACCCTCAGCAGGTCTGGCTCTCCCTGTCTCACCCTCAGCAGGTCTGGCTCTCCCTGTCTCACCCTCAGCAGGTCTGGCTCTCCCTGTCTCACTCTCAGCAGGTCTGGCTCTCCCTGTCTCACCCTCAGCAGGTCTGGCTCTCCCTGTCTCACCCTCAGCAGGTCTGGCTCTCCCTGTCTCACCCTCAGCAGGTCTGGCTCTCCCTGTCTCACCCTCAGCAGGTCTGGCTCTCCCTGTCTCACCCTCAGCAGGACTGGCTCTCCCTGTCTCACCCTCAGCAGGACTGGCTCTCCCTGTTTCACCTTCAGCAGGACTGGCTCTCCCTGTCTCACCCTCAGCAGGTCTGGCTCTCCCTGTCTCACTCTCAGCAGGTCTGGCTCTCCCTGTCTCACCCTCAGCAGGTCTGGCTCTCCCTGTCTCACCCTCAGCAGGTCTGGCTCTCCCTGTCTCACCCTCAGCAGGTCTGGCTCTCCCTGTCTCACCCTCAGCAGGTCTGGCTCTCCCTGTCTCACCCTCAGCAGGTCTGGCTCTCCCTGTCTCACCCTCAGCAGGACTGCTCTCCCTGTCTCACCCTCAGCAGGACTGGCTCTCCCTGTTTCACCTTCAGCAGGACTGGCTCTCCCTGTCTCACTCTCAGCAGGACTGGCTCTCCCTGTCTCACCCTCAGCTGGTCTGGCTCTCCCTGTCTCACCCAAACAGTGGACATGAATAAGGAGTAAAAAAATACTGTTGGAGGACTAGTGCAACATTAAAATCATGCTTGTTATAGTATTATTTAGTCGTGTTCACTTGTTATCATGCTCGAATCTTCCTTTCATCATCAACCATCTAAAACCTCACTCTTCATTGTAGCACCTACCTGCACCTCAGCAGGTCTGGTGCTCCCTGTCTCACCCTCAGCAGGTCTGGTGCTCCCTGTCTCACTCTCAGCAGGTCTGGCTCTCCCTGTCTCACCCTCAGGCTCAGCAGGTCTGGCGCTGCCTGTCTCACCTTCATCATTTTCCTGCTGAACTTCCTCTGGTCTCTTATATGAAAAAAGTGACACAAATAAGGTTTCAAAATAAAATATGGTGAGAATGTCACAAACAAGCAACAATCCCATTTACAAATTCCATTTTTATGTGGAGATTCTACTTTTTTATTTATTTCGTGTCAAATGGTTTTGTCTGTTACTGTCAAATCGTGTCAAATTCGCCATTTTTTGTTGACTAGTACTGTTGTTTAATGTTTAATGTTGCCTAGTAAGATGTTTACGTTAGTCAGCCAGTCTAACGTTTGACCAGAAATACAATTATCCTCTTGGACTAAATTATTACCAACTCACATTTCCTTTCTTTCTTTTTTTGCCCATGAGACGAACTCGCTGAGCTGCTGCCGTCTCTCTGACACCTGTCTGCCCCGGCTCCGAGTCCCGCTTCCCTCAGCCAGCCTGTCTGACTCCCTGAGGGGAGGGGCTGTGTCGGTGAGAAGTCTGCGGTGTCTTTCAAAATAAATGCTCGCAAGTCAAATATTTCAAAATCTTTTTTTTTTCGTCTCCATGTTTGTCCAATATTGGAGGGGACACCCCCCCCGACACCCCCCCCCCCCCCCCCCCGGTTCCTGCGCCCTTGGCTGAAGTGCTTTTAACTTGTTACTTTTAAATAGAGCAACGTAATGTATGGATAGTAACCTACACAGTGTCATTAAAGCCAAAGCTTGATCAGTTTAAATACTATTTTTCAAGTAAAAATGTGCCCCAAACTAGTTAACTGTGGCTCCATGTCAAGTGGACTAAAGAAAGGAAGGGGGAAAAAATCAAATCGCTGGAGAATTGTTTATTTACATTTATACAACATTTGACTTTACATTCAATACAGGGTGCCATTTTACATTGTTTATTTATTTTTTAGCATCAAGGCTGTAACATAAAGAAAGCCAGTTCTTACCACAAACCATCTTTCAATCGCAAATATTGCAAAAAGGATTAATATATGCTCACTGTGAACGTTTAAGACAAATAGCAACACTTAAAACAACTTCCGAACTGGAAAAACTAATATCCGTGATAAACATCCGGACGAGGTTATCTCTGCTTTCTCGTTGTCCATATTGCTAGATATACCGAGTTTTAAGGCAAAATCCCGGGGAATTTCGTCTAGAAATGCAATTACCTAACCGTGCGCAATCCTGCGGTGGCTAATCATATTTTTGGCAGCCAGTCTCTTTTTGCACTGCAATATCTTTTAAATTTTACCTTCTAATGCTCTTTTAAAAAATCCTCCATTTAGGCTGTTTATTCAGAATGTTATGGTTATTGTATTAGATACCAGAAAATCAAGTGATCAGAATCGACCAACAGTGGGTTTAATTTATGATCGACCAATCTCAAACTCAGATTTTTTTATTTGATGAGGGAGCACTACTGTCAATAGCAATAATTAAAAACCCTTATAACAATCTCTTAGGTGTTAATTCATGCAAGCAATAACTTCCAGAATAAAGATTTTCTTCTAAAACTAAATTTTAATCTGCCTAAATTGATTTGAGCAGCTCCAAGATGTTCAAGCTCCTGAACCCGAATTGGTGCATCTTTAGTTTTTTACTGGTAAATTAGCAGCAGAGCTAGTAATCTGGTTTACTGGTTAAACACATTAATACCATTCTTCAATGTCAATCCCCAAACTAAACAAGCATGTAGCGACAGTGGACATGAAACCTACAGCAAATTCATTTCACTGTAATTCTGAGTTGTAATTGAAAATGTAGTCCCTGCGTCACTGAAGTAACCTTTTTTGTTGCCCTCCTGAAACTCTTCATCTACCTGTTGCTGTATTTGGTTCCTACCTCAACCACTCATTGATGCCTCGCCAACTGGCTGTGGTTGGAGGGACCGGTGGCACCTCGTCAGCCTGGCCCAAAAGTGAGCCCCGGGGCAACTGTGGCTACGTCGTATCACCACCAGTGTGTGAATGACTGGTTGTGTTATAGTGCCTTGCGGAGTTGTATAACTACTATATTACAGACCATTTACCATTTTCTGCCTTTTTTAAAGACAAAAACTAACAACCCAGCAGCCTGAGAATGAAATCTGTTTCAGTAAAACCTTCCTTCCAGCATGAATCCAGGATTGACTGAATAGTGTTTGTTGTTAGCCTCAAGGGCAACCTGCTGCTTATCACCTGTAAGTCCCTTAAATACATAAACATGACTGAGACGGTTCCATTTTACCGTAGAATCCTTACTATTGCACCACTTTTCGCACCTTTAATAACAACAAGCCATGGTTTACAGCAACTCCGAGCCAGTTGAGACGGGCAAAGGAGCAGGCTTACAGGGCAGGAGACAGGCCTCTGTACAAATCACTCAGGAACACGTTGAACAAGGAGATCAGAGCTGCTAAAATTAAGTATGCAGCAAAGCTGAAAAACCAGTTTACAGCCAACAACCCCACATTACTGTGGAGAAACATTCAGCACATTACCAACTACAGGAGACCATCCTCCATTTCTGATGCTAATCATGGCCTTGCTGAGGAGCTAAATGGCTTTTACTGTCACTTTGAGGAAAGGAATGTCCCACCCCTCCTCCACTCCAGCATAGCGGCAGCCTAAACCCCTCACCTGGACACTCTTACTCCTCTTTCCTCTAAATCACAAGCTGCGTTCCTTGTGAAGGAAGAGGATGTCTGCAACATCTTTAGGAGACAGAAAGTACGGAAGGCACCAGGCCCAGATGGAGTAACTCCTTCCTGCCTCAGGACCTGTGCTGTCCAACTAGCACCTGTCTTCACAACGATATTCAACAGATCGCTGGAGCTGTGTGAGGTTCCATCATGCTTCAAAAGCTCAACTATCATCCCAGTACCGAAGAAGTCCTCCCCTACCGAATTGAATGACTACAGACCCGTGGCTTTGACATCAGTAGTCATGAAGTCCTTTGAGCGCTTGGTGCTGTCCCATCTTAAAAGCACCACAGGCCACCAGCTGGATCCCCTGCAGTTTGCATATAGGGCAAACAGGTCAGTGGATGATGCAATTAACATGGGGCTGCACTTCATCCTGGAACATCTTGATCAACCAAGGACCTACGCAAGGATATTGTTTGTGGATTTTAGCTCTGCTTTTAACACTGTTATACCAGAAATCCTCACCTCAAAGCTTTCTCAGCTCACTGTTTCCCCTGCTATGTGTCAGTGGATTTCCAGCTTCCTGACAAATAGGAGCCAGCATGTGCGGTTGAACAATGTTACATCTGGCACAAGGCTGATCAGCACCGGTACACCACGGGTGCGTCCTTTCTCCACTGCTCTTTTCATTGTACACCAATGACTGCACCTCTAATGACTCAGCTGTAAAAATCCTGAAATTTGCAGACGACACCACTGTCATTGGGCTCATCCAGGATGGTGATGAGTCTGCTTATCAGCGAGAAGTTGAGAGGCTGGTGGTCTGGTGTAGTCAGCACAATCTTGAGCTTAACACCCTTAAGACTGTGGAGATGGTCGTGGATTTTAGGAAGCTTCCCACAGTGCTGCCCCCCCCCCCCCCCCCCCCCCCCCCCCCTCACAATATCCAACAGCCCAGTGTCAATGGTGGACTCATTCAAGTTCTTGGGAACTATCATTTCCAGGGATCTGAAGTGGGAAACAAACATCAACTCCATCGTCAAAAAGGCTCAGCAGAGGATGTATTTCTTACGGCAACTAAGGAAGTACGGCCTACCTCAAGAGCTGCTGATCATCTTCTACACTGCTGCAGTCGAATCCATACTTTGCTCATCCATCACTGTCTGGTTTGGGTCAGCCACAAAAATGGACAAATGCAGACTACAGCGTATTATTAAAACAGCAGGAAAAATCATTGGTGCCCAACTGCCCTCTGTCCAGGAACTGTACATCAGCAGGACCAGGAAAAAGGCAGTGAATATTGTCCAAGATGCCACACATCCTGCATCTACTCTCTTCCATCTCCTCCCATCTGGCAGACACTATAGATCGCTGTACACAACAACTACCAGACACAAGAACAGTTTCTTTCCTTCAGCCATTTCTCTCCTGAATCTGTAGATTCTTTTACCATCCTTTTACTATAGTTTTTTAATACTTAATCAGTATGCTTATGGATATGTGTGTGTGTGTGTGTGCGTGCGTGTGTGTGTGTGCGTGCGTGCGTGTGTGGGTATGCATATATGTATATATGTGTGCGTAAATGAACATGTGTGTGGGTATACATGTTCTCATGTGTTTTTAGGTATTTTATTCTCATTTATTATGGTTGTTGTATGTTTTAGAGAGCGAACATCTACCGAAGACAAATTCCTTGTAAATGTAATTTTACTTGGCCAATAAATCTGAAATCTAATAACAACCGGAGTGCAGTTTAAGTTACTGACTTTTGTTTTTAAAGCACTCAATGACCTGGCACCTCCCTACCTCTCTGCCCTTCTCACTCATACGTGTCCACCCGCACGTTGAGGTCGGCTGACCTTTTGCTGCTGTACACGCCGCGGATGAGACTCAAATCGCGGGGGGATCAAGCATTTGTGCATGCTGCCCCAAAGCTATGGAACTCATTGCCTATTGGGGTTCGGCAGGCTCGGTCTCTGGCGGTTTTTAAATCTCGTTTAAAGACCCACTTTTACACTTTGGCTTATAGACAGTGACTCGTTTAAGTGTTTTATTGTATTATTGTTTTAATGTGTTCTTAGTATTCATCATGTTTTATCTGCCTTTGATTGATTTTTATCCTTTGTTTTAGCTCCTTGTTGTTTTGTTTTAGCCTGTGCAGCACTTTGGGCAGCTCACGTGCTGGATTTTAAACGTGCTATATAAATAAACTATGCTATAAACATATTTTGTTTTATGACAAGAAAAAACTTCCTTTTTAATTCCCTGAGGTTAGCTCAGAACTGATCTCCATTTCTCCCAACACTGGCTGTTCACTACTCTTTTTGACCAGGTCAGTTATTAGCTATACATCTGCTCTGACCCATCCCTCATATGCGTGTCAGCTCGAGTGTAAAAATTAGGATTTAAACAAAAACAAGAAACCGACTGGATGAAATAAAATGTCTTTATTGTTTCAGCCGTGTCGCCACCTCGTCTCCGGAACAAACACAGCAGGACTACAACCTAGCTACCTTTGATGGCAGGTACAACTGGCTGTTACCAGACCACCAATGATAGCATTCATTTTTCCATCAGACATCCAAAGATAGCATACAAAATAGTTAACCTACCAGTGATACTGTATATAAAACACTTGTCTCTAGATTTCCCCTGACCCACCCTCAGATTTGACCCCGAATCCCCTTTAGAACATTTGACACCGACGTATTTTATGCTTAAACAAGCACATATTAAGAGGGCATATTTCTCCATTTTTGAGATTATATAGAAAAAAAAAACTACACAATGTTACACTTGAAGTCAGAGTACATTTCAACTGATTATTAGTGTTCTACACATTCGACCATAACCAAAAGGAACATCGTATAATATCACTATAACTTAACACTAGGTGTAATATACGTTCTTAAAATAAAAAAAGGAAAAATTACAAATGATTAGCACTGAAGAGAAACTGAAGATGGCGAGCGTGAAGGCTAGCTGGGTCAGTACCATAACAGATGATGAGTAATACAAAGTCATACAAAAAGATAAGAAAAGAACAGAAACAGAAAAATCTGATAATACAGGCAGAGCTAAACGTGTTCACACTCAAGATCAACCTCATGTGCACTCGTCACCTGCTATTACACCTCCATTGTGTGATTTATTTTTGTTAAACTTTATTCTTTGATACTTGGAAATCATTCTTTCCATTGTTTCAACTTGCTTTAACAATCCTGTGGCAACCATCTTTATTTTCTCGTTGTGAGGCACTTCCCAAGACTTCCCGTTCCTCTTTACCTTCAACGGTTTACAGAATGCTGCTTCAGACAAGACAGGACAGCCACGACGCAGGTTGGACCAGAAACAACTGAAAAAGACCCACATTCTTACTCAGGTGCTCATGATCTTCTATGTTGTTTCACGAGCTGGTGGATGTGGAGACGTGTGGGCCAGCTTACCAATCCTACAGGTCGGTATCAAACCAGGCCAGCTGGTTGCTGTCCATCAGTTCCTGGGTGTGGCCCAGATCTGGTAATGGGTCGGTGTGATGACCCAGGTCTGGCAGCGCGTCTGTGTGGAAGTCCGCTCCCTCCATCATGGGGTCCAACAGGGTGTCAGGCCCATAAGCTGCTGGGTAGGCTCGATACGCTCCATCTGAAAGGCAACAACAGGCGTCTGTAGGTGAAGATGACAGCAGCTCTCAGTGTTTCAACGTTTGTGAACAGAACGGTCCTCACCATCCTGCCTGTAGGCCAGCGGGTCTCCCTGCGCCGACATGTCCAGCCCCAGGTCTCCAGTCTGTGAGCCAGAAAATAAAAATAAGACCGAAAAAGCAAATCATTGAACATGCTTTGGGCTGTGGACCGTGTGTGTGTGTGTGTGTGTGTGTGTGTGTGTGTGTGCGTGTGTGTACTAACATCGTTCCAGGCCATGGGTTCAGTCCTAAACAACGAGCTGGTCAGCTCCACTGACAGACGCTTCTTGTAGTCCTGGGGTTTGTCTTCAGACATGCGGAACAGCACTGCTGCGGCGTAGGTGGCTGCAGGAGAAATCAGGGCAGCAGATCAGAAAAACTCCCGACTTTGACCAAGTCTGATGTTGTTTTTGCAAACTCACCAACGCCCTCGTTCCGGGAGTGCAGCAGCTCGGTGAGCGGCGCGGTGGCGCCCTCTGCTTCGATGGCCTCGGCAGCTTCTTTGTCCTGGGCCAGCTCACACAGGACTCCTGCTGCAACACGCTGGATGTTCTCCACCGGAGAGTACAGCAGCTGGAGTCAACAACAACAGGGACAAATATGCACTAACGCTCTCAAACGCACCGGTGTGGATGAAACAAACCAAACCAGGTTCTACCTGGACAAAGAGTGGAATGGTGTTGAGTCCTCGGATTACGATTCTGTTGTGGACATCCCGGGCCAGGATGTGCAGAGCTCCTGTGCAGCCTTCAACTATTTCCTCCATACGCACACCCTCCTGGAGGATTCCAGCAAGCAAGTGAAATCAAAGCTGCAAAAACAAACTTTAAAAGCTGAATAGAGTCACACACCACAAACTGCTGCTGGTTGCCTCCCATGCTTGTGCGCCTCTGGGTGTCCTGGTGAGCTCTGACCAGCAGCTGGACCAGCCGGGGAATGGCGCCCTGCTCACGCAGAGCGCTGTGATTGGCCGGGCAGAGGGCCAGGTTACGAATGAGCCCAACAGTTGCCTGAACAGGAGAACAGTTTTGATTATGGTGGTTTGATGTGAGCAGACGTGTCTTAAGGAAGACTTACCTTGATTAGTGGCCAGTGGGACGGAGGGTGCAGCAGTTTGACCACCACAGGCAGGCCGTAATGGAGACGCACGGCATTCTGGGCCATCTCAGCATCCTGGTGGCGGGAGGTCAGGTGACGCAGGGCGCAGACAGCCGGTTCTGTGATGTCCTCTCTGTCACCTGCCCGAAGTACGGTCCGTACCAAAGCCTCGATGCCGCCGACCTAACGGTTGACAGCAGTCAGACACCGGTGGGGGTGGGGGGGGGTCTCATCAGATTTTACACCATCTCTTCAAACCAAAGCCTCTGATTGGATTACGGCACATACCTGGCACACCATGAGTTTGTTGCTGTAATTGTTGCAGGTCAGGTTGGAGAGGATGCCAGCAGCACATGTCACCACATTGATATCATCACTGCCCAGCAGCTGGACCAGGGTGCCCAGGAGGCCCTCCATGCCCTCCTACAGAAGGAGCAGGTTCTCCTGGTTAACTACAGCAGCAGCAGCAGCAGCGTGTGACTCTGGAAAAGCCCTTCACCTGTTTAGTGGCAGCGTCTGAAAGGTTCCTCAGAGTCCAGAGGCAGTTCTGGACCAGACGCTGGCTCAGGTCGGTCAGATGGAGTCCCAAAGCCTGCATGCCACCTACAGCGCCAAACACAACGAGTACATCACTCAAGACCTTCAAAATAAAAGTTAGTCCACTAATCACACCACCGCTGTCTAAAGAGACACTCACCGGCTTCGACAATGGCCGGCTTGTTGCTGGAGCAAACCGAGAGCACCTTGAGCACCCTGCTGGTGGTCCACAGCAGCTTCTCATACGTGAAGGTCCTCATAATGTTGACCAGGGCTTGGGGCCCCCCGCTGGCCAGAATGATCAGCTACAACAAAGATGGTATTGAATTAACGCTAGTAGACGCCAACATCTCCACCCACATAAACCCAAGCCCATGTCCTCGTCACCTTGCTCTCCTGGTTGCCGTACGCCAGGATCTGGAGACAGTCAGTAGTGATGGCCAGGAACTTCACGTTGGTGTTGGCCAACAGAGCTACCATCTTCTGCAGCCCCCCAGCGAGGCGCACGGCCATCTTGGCCCCTTCCTGGTGCAGCAGCAGGTTGTGGAGTGTGGTGATGGCGTAGAACAAAACACTGTCCACCGGTGAGCTGTAGGAACCACACGACACGTTCAGCTAGAGCCCGATTCGACGTTCCTACGGGTCAAACTAGCACCATCAGCAAATAAAACGCTAAACGTGGCGTTAAGCTAAACCCAACTAGGGTTGGTGGTACGACTACAGCCAGGGAAATAATCGGTTTCACGATTATTTTACATTAAATCACGTCACATCTGCACTAACACACAAATTACAAACACGCTATAAAGGTGATGGCCAGGAACTTCACGTTGGTGTTGGCCAACAGAGCTGGTTGAAGAGTATAAATATCTAGGGACCACCATTGATCACCTCCTGAAATTTGCTTCCAACACCGAGGACATCCTCAGAAAGTGCCAGCAACGACTCTACCTCCTGAGGAAGTTGAATTCATTTGGAGTCAGGAAGGACATTTTACTGACTTTCTATTATTCTTTTATAGAGAGTGTTATCACATTTTCCATCCCCTGTTGGTTTTATTCTGTCAGCCTGCAGTATAGAAGCCGTCTACAAAGCACCGTCAAGGTGTGCTCTCGGATCATTGGACTACCACTGCGAAGCTTAACTTCTCAATGTGACCAGCATACAGGAAGTTTAGCACAGAAAATCATTAAAGACCCATCACACCCTCTTCATACTGTTTTCGAGTGGCTGCCCTCCAAACGCCGACTTCGATGCCCATGCTGTAAAACACAGAGGAGGAGAAGTTCCTTTGTTCCCAGAGCTGTGCTTCTTCTTAATTCTCAGTGCAGATAGGGGGCGTGTGCATTACTTGTATGTGTGCGTGCATATAGTTACATGTGTGTGTGTGTGTGTGTGTGTGTGTGTGTGTGTGTGTGTGAGTGAGCCAAAGTTTTAATCATTGTTGGTCATTCACATGTGAGTTTATGATATGATTGTGTATATAGGTTTTTATGGGTTTTACAAATGTGTAATTTGGATGTGTTTTTAGAATTTAGAGATTTTAGTGCCGGCTGCTTCACAATGCTGTCTCGAATTGCCCCTCGGGGACTAATAAAGTTGTCTTGAGTCTTGAGTGTTCAACTGCAGAAATCTCTTGCTGCTCTTCAGAAATACGTGTTAGACAAAAACATTCGTAAGATAAATCTGTGTCGGTTTGAAATCAGCTTCAAACTTTTTAAAAAGCTTTGATTAGATTTCCACGTTAGTCTGTTTTGAGTTTCTGTAAAAAGACAAAAAGAAGTTTAAGTCACCATTAAAGGAAGGAGACGTCTTAATGAGACTAAATTCCTACCAGTGCATTTCTTATGAATATCCAAGAATAATTTCTAGTTAGTATCTTTAATTATCCCCAATAAGACTATGTAAATACATCAATAATCTCTATGTGAAACAGGGATTACAAAGAGGTGTTGATTCAATGTTAAAAAGGCTTGCCAAAGTTCATACACAGGAACCATTCTGTTAAATCACTGACGTGATCCGACTCAGGTGTAGCCTATTTGATGATGGGAGGAGTTTGATTCTTTAGGCGACTTCAGGCGCTCTCTCGGAGGATGTGGCGGAGTCCTGGGTGGTTGTGGCTCTGACCCACATGTGCGACCGTTCCAGGTGCTCCTTTGTCTGTACAAGTCGTGTTTGTATGTCTTTGGTTCCAGCTGAGCTGGAGAAGTCTAAATGGTGGTTTAACCTCAATCTCTCACATCGTGGTTAAAAATTCAAACTAGTTAACTGCTGCAACCCAACGACAGACTCGTTGAACTGCTGTCTGTGTATGAAATGCTCTATATGCCTCCTGAAGATTGAACTCCAATCTGAGGGGAAAAGTAAACATTTTATAACCTACTGGGAGATTTTAGTGGTTCGATAAAGTTTCCAGTCAACCCAAAATAAAACTAGAGGTGCAACCTGCATCTTAATCCACACAAAGACCATGGAAGTCCCCTTCTCCTCACACCCGCCAGCCAGCACTGAAAGCACTGCAGCGAGATTCCAGGTACACCAGCCAACAGGTCACAACTCGCTTGTGAGCTGCTTTCATGTGTGAGCAGAGTGGCTCAAGCTGCCGTTCACTGCATTAGAACACAGGGAGAGCAGGTGTGTGTGTGTGTGTGTGTGTGTGTGTGTGTAGCAGTGATCCCTCAACAGGAGGTAAACAGTAGATGTAGAAATGATCTGAACAAAATCAGAAAACAGGGCTGTGCTGTAGATTTGAGCACAACAGCCAGGAGAAAGACAGAAACTTAATGGTCAGCAGAAAAAAAGCGAAGCCGCACGACTGCAGCTAAAGCTGCTGGTTTCTCACCTGCTGGGTGGAAAAAGGACCCTAGGAAATTCTACATGAATGCATTTCATTCTGAGTCTCTAGATCACTTAGGGGATGCAGGTTTCCAGTTAAAGACAAAACCACGGTGCTTTGCATGTCTCACCCCAGCATCTTGACGAGGGCAGGGATGCCTCCAGACTTAAAGATGGCGAGGAGCCCCTCGCGATGGTGGGAAAGGTTGTGCAAAGTGCCAGCAGAGCAACGTGCCGTCTCCACGTCGCTGGTGTTCTGCATGGCACGAACAACAGCTGACACCATCTGGGGTGAACGCATGAGGGCGTGACGCGATGCCTCCTTCTTTGACAGCTGATGCACCATCACAGCAGCTTTGTTCACAACAACCTGCCCAAGAGGTGAGATCCGTTAGACGTCAAGAGGCCAAAGTTATACATGCGATTACACCTTTTACGCTCAAACCTGGTCCTCATCGTTGAGGAGCTTGGTGAGCTCAGGGATGGCCCGGGTGGCCAGCTCAGCGTCATCCTGGTAGTTGATCAGGTTGACCACAGCATGCTTTAGCATCTGAGACGGCTCGGCCAGGCGCTGCACTGCTGTTGGGTGAGCGGCCTCCAGCTGGGTGGGTGGGATCTGAAGTCCCTCTTCCAGAGTCTCCGGGAACATAGCAGCACGCACACGCTGGGCTCGGGTCATGGCGTAACCCTCGATGTCTGAAATAAACACAGTGAGGATGTAGACAGGTGTCCTTGAGTGTTACGATGACTGCTTTGTACAGATAAGAACTTGGATTGTGACAAAAAGAAGCTAGGAGACACGTGAAGGTGCACAGCAACTTCTAGAAACATAATCGACCATTGTCCTCCTATTCCTGGCAGTCCAAAAGGAATAATTACAGCCATCTAAACACAATGATTAGCCCCAGTAAAACGACCTACGTTCCTCCAGTTTCAGCAGAACTTGACTCCATGTGCTGAATGTTCGTCTACAACAAACACAGGACCGCCGGTCTCTCCTTTACCTGTAGCCTCAGGTGTGAAGGGCTGATTGAACTCCCAGTCATAAAGAGTTGGATCATCCTCCTCGGCATCGGGGTTCCCTTTGCCGCTCAAAGACGGTGCTGTGGTGGTGACACCTGACTGGATCCCTGAATCCAGGTAGGACTGCTGCTGCCACTGGCTCACAGCAGCTTTGCTGTCTCCCATAGCCATGTCCAGCTCCATCAGATCAGCTGCAGACGTACAACAAAACTCTTCATTGAGATTACTTCCTGGGACTCTTGAGACAAATGGATACTGATGAGCTAACAGGTTAGCACCATGAAACTAGCTAAATAAAAAACTACATTCACAAATCAGACTTTTTTTGGCCACATCTGATGTCTGAATGGCACAAATCTGATTTTTCCTCCAAATCTAACCTAGACTACTTTCAAATAACCTCCACCTCAACAATGATCACATTTTATGAGACTTTGCATCCCTGGAGTGTAAGAAACGATACTTCTGGACCAGAAGAGGCAGAAAACAATATCAAACGTAAATGATCACAAGCAAAAGCTTCCGAGCCTCAGAACCTATGTGCATACGATGTCTTGCATCCATATTTGCACCCGTCCCCCCCTCTCTACTGTCCACTCCTTGTTCCCTCCTCTCCATGATTGATGTCAAGTTGTTGTTGTTGTTAGCCTCAAGGGCAACATGCCGATTATCACTTGTAAGTCGCTTTGGACAAAAGCATCTGCTAAATACATAAACATATTTAGTCATGGGGGGTTCTTTTATAAATAATCTGGCAGAACTGGAGCCAGAAGTGCTGTAGTAACTAGCTTCCCAGCTAATTTCCACTACAAATAACTACAGAACTCTACGTCTATAAACATGTAATAAAAAATTTGAGGTGACAAAAGTTTATAGAACAACATCTATACGAACTGAATTTTTTCCCCTTTCTTTCTAGATTAGTTATATCAAGATGGAAGAAACGCTTCCCGTTTCTCCAAACTGAAGTTGATCAAACAGCAAAAATAGCAGCCAAGATTTGAATTGTTCATAACCTTCAAAAGGTGAGGACTATCCCTTTAGGGTTAACACCTTCCTCTCAAAGCAAACAAACTAACAATGACTCCTGTGGATCTCGCGATATTCCACGAGAGTTGCAGTAACTAGTTTACTAGTTAAACAAACATGGACAGTTGTGTTGCTGGGATAAATAAGATCACATTTATGAATGGGCGTAGTTTGAAAGACTCACACTGGGTAGCCATTGTTGTTGCTTGCCCTCAGCCCGCACAGCAGTTTTGTCTGAAAAACAAAATATGGACACGATTAAAGTCAGACTCAACTTTGTTATCCGGAAAAGGGTCCGAGCTAAACGTGGCGTCCAGGTGATTCTCCTACGTGCGTCTGAGTGAAAACAGGGTTTTTGTTAGGATTTCCTGCTCGACCTTCCTTCGCCACGCCGAGCAGATTTCTGAGGGGAAATGCCGAGCCTCCACCTCAAACTGAGAGAGCAAAGCGGTGGGTATTTCCAGCCCAGCACGAACACAATTCACCATTCAGCAGCATACAACATCAAAGGCATATTTCTCCCCCTCCCCCCGAACCACGGCCAAGTTCCGACCTCGCTTAGGTTTCCAATGGGAGAGACATAACCCCCTCCACCCGCAACCACTTCCATGACTCCTCTCAGACCCAACTATCAAACAAAAGCGACTACAAATTTTACACATATTACATTAATAACCAAATTATTTTTATTACATTTAAACAGGAAACAGGACCGCTAGCACGTACTAGCCACCCCGGCTAGCTCTTATCTATAAAGCACGCTATGCTAACCTTTCCGTTAGTTAGCCCACATAGCTAACATAAACAATCCGTGTTTTTGGATTTGGACACTCAAAAACAACACGGGAGGTTTATTTTACTACGCGGCCGCAATTAGCAGCCACTAATAATCTATTATATGAATCGTGACCATGAAGCAAAGCCCAGGATCTTTAATTGAGGTGTGATTAGCGTATAAAGACGTATAAAAAGTAGATCCAGGCGCCACCGTACAAAACCTGCTAACGTTGCCAGCCAAATCCGAAAACCCCACCGGAGCCCCCTCCTTAGAAAAATATGATTTTCTCCCATAAAACACGCACTGATACGCTACATTCACCTTATACAGCGTGTAAACACAATATTTAGTATTTTACCAGAGTCGAGTGGCACCTCCGTAGCTTTTGTCGGGATATTTCCCCCCTTTCTCGTAGCTGAAAATAGTAAAGGGACTGTTAGGTGAACCACCCGTCCTAGTCCGAACCACACCCGCTGCTGAGCTGTGGAAGATGTTTCCTCCGCGATCGAACACCAAGATGGCGAAGACGGAAAAGGCACAGTATTCTGCCGCATTCAGAAAAGTAGAGCGCCAGCCCCATTTAAGTTTTTACCCAACAAAACCTGTTTGCAGATTTTTATTTTTTATGTCATTCCTTTTATTAAAAAAACTACCATCTGGGGCTGTAATAATTAAAATACATAATTTACAAGCTGCTGTGGTTTAAAGCTACACAATTATCTGATTTGCAACTTGTTTTCATTATAGTTTAAAACTCCACACAAATAAACATTTTAATTAAATGCAATCAAAGTGAATGCTGCATGTCTCCATTCATTTTACTTCTAAACAGAAAGTTTATCAGCAGACAGTCTTGCTTGTACACTTTTTGTGTATAGTAGATTCAGCAACAAAAAGATATGGATTTGTATTTTGTTTCAGGAATAGGTGGGTTTTTTTTGCTGCTAAAATCTAATAGAATTTAACCGCACATAAGTTTGTTTTTAATCATATGTATGCTTGTCAGTGATGCTGAAGCATATTTAGCTCTGAAAGTGGGCAAAAATTACTGTTAAAAGATGCAGTTTTACATCAATAAAAAGAGAAATGCATATAAAACAGTTGTGCATGCCTTTGAGTATCAGAGATTAAAGTCCAAATGTCACTGAGAAGCACAATGCAAGTAGAAAGTTTTTAACCAGGAGGCTTACTGCATGGTTTACCCCTAAATAAACCCAATTTAAAAACATGGCGTGTGTATTGGCAATAATCTGGTGAAACAATATATATCACAATACAGGGGAGAAGATACAATATATTGCAATACTAAAAGCTAGACGATATTTGCAATTTAAGACTGAATTGTGGGGGTGGGGGGTGGGGGGTGGGGTGTTAGAACCCTAAGAAAGCGCTATACAAAATACAGGCCACCCCTACAAAATGTATTAGAAGAAGAAGAAAGTATCATTTCTATAGCGCCTCTCAAGATAAAAAATCACGAGGTGCTTCACAAAAACAAAAAATGCAAAAATATAAAAAAAAACATTTATAACGGTTTAAAAATATATTTAAAATGAGCAAAAATAGACAATTGTGATTAAAAATGTTAAGAAAGACAGAGAGTGTGAATAGGAAAGAGGGAAACCAGTGGATCCTGAGGAAGGTGGAATAGGTGGGGAGAGCAGAATAAAGAGAGAGAGGTGAAGAAGGTCACACAAAAGCCAGCTTGAACAGGTGAGTCTTCAGCTGCTTTTTAAAGGAGACCACTGAGTCCACTGATCTCAGGCTCAGGGGGAGAGAGGTCCAGAGTCTGGGGGCCACAGCAGCAAATGATCTGTCAACTTTGGTCTTTAGCCTGGTGCTGCACAACCAGTAGGCTTTGATCACTGGACCTCAGGGACCTGCTGGGGGTGTAGGGACTAAGAAGATCACCAATGTAAGATGGTGCTTGTCCATGTAAGGCCCTATAGACCAGAACCAGGATCTTGAAATGTACCCTGAAGTTGACTGGCAGCCAGTGAAGCTGGAGGAGAAGCGGGGTGATGTGGGTGTGTTTGGAGGACTTGGTCAGAAGCCGAGCACAGGCGTTCTGAACCACCTGTAGACGGTTCAGGGAGGTTCTGCTCAGACACGTGAAAAGAGAGTAACAGTAGTCTAAGCGTGAGGAGATGAAGGTGTGGAGAACTGTCTCAAGTTCAGAGCGGGACTCAGCTTAGCAATGTTCCTGAGATGGAAGAAGGAAGAGCGAACAAGAGAACTGACATGAGAATCCAGGGTGAGAGCTGGGTCAAAGGTCACACCAAGATTCCTGACAGAAGGTTTGGTGTGGGAAGCAAGCTGACCAAGAGAGTCTCTGACTTTGGGAACCAGCTTGTCTGGGGCACAGATGAGGATCTCAGTCTTATCTTCATTCAGCTGAAGAAAGCTCCCACCATCCAGGTTTTGATAGAGTCTAAGCAGGTGTGTAACAGCTGCAGCTTAGACATCTCATGGGGCTTAAAGGAGATGTACAGTTGGATGTCATCTGCATAAAGATGGTAGGAGATTCCTTTGAAGGAACTCAGGATGTGCTGAAGAGAAAGCAGAAAGGGGAGGAAGAGCAGAGGCCCCAGCACAGAACCTTGTGGGACACCATGGGTAAGGGAGGTGGTGGAGGACCTAAACTTGGAGATGGCCACAGAAAAGGAGCACTCAGAGAGACAAGAGGAGAACCACTCCAGAGCAGATCCTGATGGGCCTACCCAGTCTCTCAGCCTCTCCAGTAGCAGGTGATGGTCAGCAGTGTCAAAGGCTGCAGTCAGGTCCAGCAGGACCAGAACAGAACTGTCCCCTGCATCACTGTGGGTCAGAAGGTCATTAGAGACCCTAAGAAGAGCTGTTTCAGTAGAATGAGCTCTACGAAAACCTGACTGGAAGCTATCATAGACGTTATGTTCATCAAGAGCAGCTGTGAGTTGTTTAGCCACAACCTTTTCCAAGATCTTGGAGATGAACAGAAGTTTAGAGATTATCTTGTCACCACAGCAGATTTAATTTTTGCAACCAAAATTTCAAACAGACACGTGAATTTGTTTTACCGTAAATAAGTGCACAAGAGAGACAATTTGAATCCAAATAAATACATCTTTTAATTGGACTGATTGACAGATCTGATTATACAAACGCCAACACGGAGCTCTGAAATAACAGGACCAATTAGCGAGACGATGACTGTACATTCTGGATGTGACCCTCACATTTTCTGACCCCACCCCTTTTTCCTAACCCCTACCCCGTCAGCAGTAACTACATACATTGCTAGTGTTTTTTTTCATCTGTACAAGTAAAGCTCGGCTACCCACCCACCCACCGTCTAATTACCTATTCAGTGCACAACTTTGTACTCCATGTTTGGCCAATTACTGAGCAGGTTACCATGATGAACCTCAGCGTTTTATTTCCTTCTTGTTTGGTTGTTTTGTAGCTGCTGGTTGTATTAACAGAATGTGTGCACTTTTGTAGTGTATGGGTATGGGCTTTGTTGTGTTTCTGACACTTGTTGCCCAAAATATTTTGCCTAATGTTTCCCCAATTATCCTGACTCATTCTCTCTCTCTCTCTCACACACGCACACAAATACTGGTTACTTTTCCCTTCATCCTAAAAACAAGAAGACTGTTTGCATGTTTGTTTCAATGTTCTGTTTCCGACCTGTCCGTCCAGTCAACTACAACTCTCCTTACATCCATTAAACACACACTATCTTATCTAAGTGCAATTTCTTCCCACATGCGTCCTCGAGAGTTCCTACGGTAGAAACCCAAACCGTACCATCGCAGTAGAAGGATGGACACCTCAAAGTCAAGTTCTGGTTCAGTCCACCCTGCTCTTCCTTTCACCTCCTCCATTGGTCCCCCTGTACCCACGTACTCAGTGGAACACAGGCTTTTGCATGTAACAGTGACAGACTCTTCTCCTTGGTGTAACAGCTGCAAAGAACAAAGGAAAGGGCAGGAGCGAGGAGTGGGGGAAGAGATGGCAAGTTTTTTCCTTGAGAAGAAAGTGAAAATACGACAACTGTAAGTCCACCCTTCTGTTTCCTCCCCTCATCTTTACAATGAGAGGAAGATGGGAAGAAGGAGGGAGGTGGAGGGTGACTGAGGTGGGGGAGAGGGGAGAAATGAGGTTGGGGAAAGTTGGTCTTCATGTTTCCTGGCCGTCTGTGGCGTGGGCGTCGTTGGCGTTGGACAAGTCGGCGTCCGTTTCGCGGCTGGATATGCGGTCCAACTCTGCCTGGACGTCGCTCAGGCCCAGCTTCGAACCTGAAAATGCAAACTATCAGTCAAACCCTAAAAAACCCAAAACATGAAACATACAAGCACACCAGTGCAGCAAGCAAACAGAAGACATTTTAGCCACGATGCAGAAGCAGAAGAGCTGGGAGAAACACTGATCATCATTAAAAATGGATGAGCACAAACACTTGTACAGTTTTGTGGTTGTTAATTAGGCCATTTTTCAATTTAATAAGAATATGTGAGAAGACTGCAGAGCTTTCAGCGGTCTCATTGTGTCTCAGCTCATTTGCAAAAGGAGGAGCAGCTGATGCTCGGAGCTGCGGCAGCCAGACGACAATAAGCTCAGATCCGCAGAAGGTATAAAAATACATTTTACTCCTAAACGACAGATGGAACAGATAAAGGATATAAATTTGTTAAGTAATCTAAATCAGGTTTGGTATACTAAAAAAATCACTCCCCATCCTGATGTGCTCGCTGGATCCTCCAATCATTATTTAGCTTTCTGAAAATGAAAATAACCAATTAAGGAAAAAAGTAAAGGAGGCCAGGAACATTGGAGGTCAGTTCGAGGTGTCAAGTAAAAATGTGTATACTCACAGGTTAACCTGCAAGTCTGCAACTAAACTACATCTCAACACTATTTATACATACGGCTTTGATTTAAGAAAGAATTTAATTATTTGTTTATTGAATCTATATTAGAAGGTAAAAGCCTGGAAATCTAGACCAACCGTAGCCACGCTCCATTAGCCTCAGCAGGCGTACCACTGGCCTTAACAGTTGTAGGTTGGGAGGTTTCATGTTGTTGAGACGTTGGGCAGGCTTAGCACCAGGGCTGTGACAGAGAAAAACTACAAAGATGGCTGCTCGTTTGAAACATCAGCTTTGGCATCAACATTGAACCATTTAGAAAACCAACCAGTGTAGGCCAGGCGATGCTCTCTCTGGTTTTAGCTCTTTGCTTCGTCTCCAGAGACATTCCTCTCTTACTTTTACTTCCAGGCTCCACCATGATGCCAACAAAACGCAAACCTCTTCTTGTGCTTTTCATTGATGGTGGGCGAACTAAAAAAGCTAACTGCCAGCCTTTATATAAGCTATTAGAACAATAAATAACTACTGCTGTGAAGCAGGTAGAGACCTCCCCGCTAGTGGTCCAATCCAAATCACAAAACTGTTAAGTGCAGTTTCTGGTCAGCAGAGCCGTCCAATGTGAAGTTGCTCAAGTTTCTACCTCAAGAACCACTGAAACCAGTTTGAAAGCAGTCGCTTAGAGAGTTAAAAACTAGGCATGTTTCGATCCGATCACGTGACAAAAAAAAAAGAATCGGGTGAAAAAGGTCGTATTTAACCTTATAAAACAAACGTGACTTTTTAAATTCATCCTGAGAGAGATTTTCAAACAGGACAACAATGGCTTAGTGTTAATCTCAACAAGTTCCTGTACTTCAGTTTTCTTTGTTTCATGGAAGAAAACAACATTATCTCAAACAATCTACAACAGGCGGGAATTCGGACAACACAACATGCAGCTGTTAGCTAGCAGGCTAACGTGTCTCCTCTATCCATCCACTCCCATTTTCAGCCGCTTATCCGGAGTTGGGTCGTGGGGGCAACAGCCAAAGCCGAGAGGCCCAGATTTCCCTCCCCCCAGCCACTTGGGCCAGCTCCTCCAGGGGAATACTGAGGTGTTCAGCTGAGAAACGTAGTCCCTCCAGCGTGTCCTGGGTCTCCCCTTGGGTCTCCTCCCAGTTGGACGTGCCTGGAAAACCTCACCAGTGAGGCATACAGGAGGCATCTTAACTAGATGCCGGTGCCACCTCAACTGGCTCCTCTCGATGTGGAGGAGCAGCGGGTCTACTCCGGGCCCCTCCCAGATGACCACGCTTCTCACCCTATCTCTAAGGGAGAGCCTAGCAATCTTGCGGAGAAAACAAATTTTGGCCGTTTGTATCTACGATCTCGTTCTTTTGGTCACTACCCAACGCTCGTAACCATAGGTGAGGGTAGGAACGTAAGATCAACAGGTAAATCACGATCTTTACCTTCTGGCTCAGCTCTCTCTTCACCACAACAGACCGGTACAACACCCGCATCACTGCAGATGCAGCTCCAATCGCCTGTTGATCTCACGCTCGTGAACAAGACCCTGAGATATTTAAACTCCTCCACTTGGGGCAGGACCTCATTCCTGACCCGGAGAAGGCATTCTACCCTTTTCCTATCCAAGACCATGGTCTTGGATTTAGAGGAGCTGATTCCCATCCCAGGTGCTTTACACTTGGCTGCAAACTGCTTCAGTGAAAGCTGGAGATCATGTTCCAATGAAGCCAACAGCACCAAATCATCTGCATAAAGCTGAGACCTGACAATTAGGCCACCAAAACGGATCCCCTCAACACCTTGGCTGCACCTAGAAATCCTGTCCATAAAAGTTATGAACAGAATCGGTGACAGCCTGTATCAGAGGGCCTGCTACCCCATACTCCCAAAGTATCCCCCACAGGGCCCCGAGAGGGATGCGGTCGAACGCCTTCTCCAAATCCAGGAGAGCTAAATGTCTGTATTTTGGTGGTATTTTAACCTGGACAGTGACAAGTAGCCACTTGTCATGTGTGCACACTGGGCGTTCGACATGCTGGAAAAGACAGCTGCGTGATAAGCAGCCTTCAAAACAAACTACTTTCTTCTTTGGCTGTTTTCCCTTCAGGCGTCGCCACAGCAAATCGTTGGTCTGCGTTAAGTCCCCGTTCACAGTGGCATCTCTAACAAAAACACGAAGCCAGCCATCAGTGAAAGATACGTTAATAAACACAGAGGAATTTGCCTAATCAAGTTGCTGTAATCAAACCTTCACTTAAGAAGCCTTCTCTGGATCCAGATGACCCAATGAATTATAGACCAATATCGAACCTTCCATTTTTATCCAAAGTCCTGGAGAAAGTAGTGGCCATCCAAGTATGTGAGCATTTAAACACTAATGATCTGTTTGAGGAATTTAAGTCTGGTTTTAGAGAGTATCACAGCACTGAAACTGCATTAGTGAGAGTTACAAATGATATTCTCATGGCGTCAGATACAGTGGGGCAAAAAAGTATTTAGTCAGCCACCGATTGTGCAAGTTCTCCCACTTAAAATGATGACAGAGGTCAGTAATTTACATCATATGTACACTTGGGGAGCCAGATGATAACATCATCTGGCTCCCCAGATGATGTTATCCCACCTCGACTCCTGAAAGAGGTGTTTCCTTTAATTAGCAATAACGTGCTACGCATTATAAATTGTAGCTTGACATTGGCTGAAGTTCCTCGTGCCTTTAAACACGCTGTTCTACAACCAATCTTGAAAAAACCTGGCCTCGATCCCACCGATTACTCTAATCTACGACCAATTTCCAAATTACCGCTTTTATCTAAGGTCCTTGAGAAAATAGTCTATGCACAGTTGGTGAACCATCTAAATGAATATCAGGTAATGGACACCTGTCAGTCTGGTTTTAGACAACAGCACAGCACTGAAACTGCTCACGTTCGGGTGTTTAATGACATTTTTCTGGCTTTAGATTCAGGTTTCCATGTGGTTCTGGTACTTTTGGATCTATCTGCAGCATTCGACACGATCGATCATGACATTTTGATCACAAGACTTCACACTTGGGCTGGCATTTCAGGCACTGCCCTGGATTGGTTTAGGTCATACTTTTGTAACAGGTCTGCTAGGGTCATGTTGGATGGCTGTTCATCAGAGTCACAGCCTCTACGTTGGGGTGTCCCACAAGGTTCAATTCTCGGCCCGTTACTGTTCAACCTCTATATACTGCCCTTAGGAGCCATTTTCAGAAAGCACGCTGTCTCATATCATCTTTACGCTGACGACTGTCAAATCTACTTTTCATTTAAGCCAACTCAGTCAACGCAAGTTCTGTCTAATTGTATCCTTGAGGTCAAGCAATGGCTAGCTGACAACTTCCTCCATCTCAATGACTCCAAAACTGACTTAATCGTTTTCAGTCCTAACAGTATCACGGCAACTCAACAACCTGACCTCAACTATCTCTCACCTAATGTATCCTCTGTAATCTCCAACCTTGGAGTAAAAATGGACCAGGCTCTGAAGATGGCTGCCCAGGTCAATAACACAGTTAAATCATGTTTTTACCAACTAAGACGCATCTCAAAACTAAAGCACATCCTGAGTGTACGTCTTCTGAAATCGGTGGTCCACACTTTTATCACCTCAAGGATGGATTACTCCAACTCCTGCTTATATGGCATCAGTAAAGCAGCTCTCTCTAGACTTCAGCTGGTCCAGAATTCAGCAGCTAGGTTGCTGACTGGAGCTGACAGAAGACAACACATTTCTCCAATTCTGAAATCTCTCCACTGGTTGCCCGTGCAGTTCAGGATAAACTTCAAAATTATGCTTCTCACTTACAAATCCTTGAACCATCAAGCTCCTCCATATCTGTGTGAACTTGTCCATTACTACAACCCGCCGCGTGCTCTCATGTCTGAAGATAAGCTCCTCCTAGCTGTTCCCAATGCACGTTTAAAAAGCCGTGGAGAAAGGGCTTTCTCTGTCTGTGCACCGAAGCTGTGGAACACAATACCACTGCTAGTGAGGCTAGCACCAACAGCTAGCATTTTTAAATCACGCCTGAAAACTCACTACTTCAACCTAGCTTATATAACATAATTATGACCCTCACTGACATCTGCACTGTTTATAAACTGACTCCACAATTATCGACTTCCGTATTATTGAGGTTCTTTGTAAAATGTTTTTTCCTATTTTTACTTCACCCTGTATCTTAATGATTTTTAGCTGTTATTTTTGGGAATTTTGTTGTATTTCCTTTTTATCTTTTATCTGTGTTCGACATGTTTATATAACGCCTGTTTAATTAACCAACATTTTTAGTGTACAGCGCCTTGTTTGGTTGTAATGCCTTGTGAATGCGCTTTATAAATAAAATTGGATTGGATTGGACTTCAACTGTGAGAGACAGAATGTGAAAAAATCCATGAATTCACATGGCAGGATTTTTAAAGAATTTATTTGTAAATCAGGGTGGAAAATAAGTATTTGGTCACTTCAAACAAGGAAAATCTCTGGCTCTCACAGACCTGTAACGTCTTCTTTAAGAAGCTTTTCTGTCCTCCACCCGTTACCTGTATTAATGGCACCTGTTTGAACTCATTATCTGTATAAAAGACACCTGTCCACAGCCTCAAACAGTCAGACTCCAAACTCCACTATGGCCAAGACCAAAGAGCTTTCGAAGGACACCAGGAAAAGAATTGTAGACCTGCACCAGACTGGGAAGAGTGAATCTACAATAGGCAAGCAGCTTGGTGTGAAAAAATCAACCGTGGGAGCAATTATCAGAAAATGGAAGACATACAAGACCACTGATAATCTCCCTCGATCTGGGGCTCCACGCAAGATCTCATCCCGTGGGGTCAAAAGGATCATGAGAACAGTGAGCAAGAATCCCAGAACCACACTTTTGGACCTGGTGAATGACCTGCAGAGAGCTGGGACCACAGTAACAACGGTCACCATCAGTAAGACACTACAACGGCAGGGAATCAAATCCTGCAGGGCCAGACGTGTTCCGCTGCTGAAGCCAGTGCATGTCCAGGCCCGTCTGAAGTTTGCCAGAGAGCACATGATGATACAGCAGAGGACTGGGAGAATGTCATGTGGTCAGATGAAACCAAAGTAGAACTTTTTGGTATAAACTCAACTCGTCGTGTTTGGAGGAAGAAGAATACGGAGTTGCATCCCAAGAACACCATACCTACTGTGAAGCATGGGGGTGGGAACATCATGCTTTGGGGCTGTTTTTCTGCTAAGGGGACAGGACGACTGATCCGTGTTAAGGACAGAATGAATGGGGCCATGTATCGTGAGATTCTGAGCCAAAACCTCCTTCCATCAGTGAGAGCTTTGAAGATGAAACGTGGCTGGGTCTTCCAACACGACAATGATCCCAAACACATCTCCCGGGTAACAAAGGAGTGGCTCCGTAAGAAGCATTTGAAAGTCCTGGAGTGGCCTAGCCAGTCTCCAGACCTCAACCCCATAGAAAATCTGTGGAGGGAGTTGAAAGTCCGTGTTGCTCGGCGACAGCCCCAAAACATCACTGCTCTCGAGAAGATCTGCATGGAGGAATGGGCCAAAATACCAGCTACTGTGTGTGCAAACCTGGTAAAGACCTATAGTAATTGTTTGACATCTGTTATTGCCAACAAAGGTTATGTTATAAAGTACTGAGTTGAATTTTTGTTATTGACCAAATACTTATTTTCCACCCTGATTTACAAATAAATTCTTTAAAAATCCTGCCATGTGAATTCATGGATTTTTTCACATTCTGTCTCTCACAGTTGAAGTGTACCTATGATGTAAATTACTGACCTCTGTCATCATTTTAAGTGGGAGAACTTGCGCAGTCGGTGGCTGACTAAATACTTTTTTGCCCCACTGTAAGAATCTTGTGTCTGTTCTAGTCTTGTTAGATCTCAGTGCTGCCTTTGACACAGTTGATCACAATGTTCTTTTAGAAAGACTTGAATATGTTGTAGGGATCAAAGGAACAGCGCTAGGCTGGTTTAAATCCTACCCGTCTGACAGATTTCATTTTGTAAATGTACATGACAAATCTTCTTCATACTCCAGGGTTACTTGTGGAGTACCACAGGGTTCAGTGCTTGGACCAATTCTTTTTTACTATATATATGCTCCCAATTGGTAAAATCATTAGACAGCATGGGATAAACTTCCACTGTTATGCTGACGATACTCAGTTATATTTATCCATTAACCCTGATGAACCTAATCGGTTGGGTAGATTACAGGTTTGTCTTGAGGACATAAAAAATTGGATGACTCTAAACTTTTTGCTTTTAAATCAAGACAAGACTGAGGCTCTCATCTTTGGACAGAAATCCAGAAAAGGAAATTGCTTAGCCAATCACCTGACCTGAATGGCATTACATTAATCTCCGAGAACAAAGTAAGGAACCTTGGTGTTATCTTTGACCAGGACATGTCATTCAAATCCCAGGTTAAACAGGTTTGTAGGATTTCCTTTTTCCACCTTTTGAATATTGCTAAGATTAGAAGCATCCTTTCCAGGAGTGATGCTGAAAAACTAGTTCATGCATTTATTACATCAAGACTGGATTACTGTAATCCATTACTCTCAGGAAGTCCACAGAATGTGGTTAAAAGTCTTCAGCTTGTCCAAAATGCTGCAGCTAGAGTTCTGATGAGAATTAAAAAGAGAGATCATATTTCTCCTGTCTTGGCTTCCCTACATTGGCTACCTGTTAAATTCAGAATAGATTTTAAGATCTTTCTTCTCACATATAAAGCTCTTAATAATCAAGCTCCATCATACATCAGTAATCTGATTGTTCCATACGTTCCTAACCGAGCACTTCGCTCTCAGAATGCAGGTCTACTGGTGGTTCCCAGAATATCTAAAATTAGGAAGGGAGGCAGATCTTTTAGTTATCAGGCTCCTCTCCTGTGGAACTAGCTCCCAGCTTTAGTCCGTGAGGCAGACACCTTGTCTACTTTTAAGAATAGGCTTAAAACATTTTTATTTGATAGGGCCTATGGTTAAAATCTGATGTTAGCCTAAATCTGGACAAGTGGGGGAGTAGAGGGAGGTGGAGTGTACAGTCAGTAAAGACAGCTCTCCCTTGCCCTGACTCCAACATGCCTCCATCTAAATAGGATAGATTATCCAGAGTTATCTCTGTAGTTATGCTGCTATAGGCTTAGACTGCTGGAGGATACACTGACCACTTTCCACACTCGACTACTTTCTTCTACAATCTGCTCTTTAACTGTATTATTTCCTGCTACTTCAGCTATTAACTTTATTTTCTCTCCAAGTGTTTTTCTCCCCAGAAGAAGCTACAATGATGTTCTGCTGAGCTGTGGTGGCCTCATGGAGGGGGCCATCGACTAGCACACTGCTGCTAACTACTTAAACATTCTCCCTCTCCTGATAATAACTATTTACTTTCCTTGACGTTGGATGTGCTACTACTAGTTTATCCGTTTAATTATAGATCCACTAGGATAAATACAATAAAGTTTATCTTTCACCAAATAGAATATTTACTAAGAAATCACAATATAACTATAGACACATTACTTTTCTTTGTGTGTGTGTGTGTGTGTGTGTGTGTGTGCGTGCGTGTGTGTCTGCTCTGTCTTCTCGATCCCCAGTGAGTCGTGGAGGATGGCTGCTTATACTGAGCCAGGATTCTCTGGAGGTTTCTTCCTGTTAAAAGGGAGTTTTCCTCTCCACTGTCGCTATATGCTTGCTTAGTATGAGGATTGCTGTATAGTCACTGACACTAGTCAGTGACTTGATGCAATTAGCTGGGTTCCTTATATAGGAAACATTATTTCTGATTGGCTTAATGAACTGACCTGAATTGGAATGTTTATTATGTGAAGTGCCTTGAGACGACTCTTGTTGTGATTTGGCGCTATATAAATAAACTTGAATTGAATTCAGAGGAATTGCCGACGGACAGCAAAATGTCGTGGATTCTGGAGCACCTGAGCTGATCGCTCCGATAGCTACAGGTGTTCTGCAGATAAACGATAGCCTGCTGGCCGTGGCGGCGTGTTTCTCCCCCATTACGGGAACACGGATCACTCAATAAAGCCACATAATGAGGATGTAAACAATTGGAAACATAAGCAACTCTGCTACTTTTAAAAATCTTTATAACATTATCATGATTTTTTTTTTATCAATGTACTAAATAGTACATAACTTATTTAGGAACATACGTGATGCTTTTTGGCAGAAAAATGAAGGAAATTACATAAATACAGAAATAAATATTGATAAAAAATTTAAAAGCAAAACTTGGACGTGTTTTCCTGTTTTTCTTCTTATTTGAATGCTTTGCCGAAGTATCGGATCGGGACTCTGTATCGGCAGAAACTCTAAATCAAACGACTCAAGACTCGGATCGGAACATCCCTATTAAAAACTCTAGCGTTGCTTTTATAGATTATTTCTTTACGGTTCGTCTCCCCAGTCTTAGTGGCAAATGAACGGTTGCAGATGCTATCGAAAAAGAAATGCAATTCGTGCAAAAATCCAAAACAGAAATCCTTCAAATAAAACAGAACAATGAATTTTAGGGGGGAAAGGGACGGCAGGGCACTACTCCTCACATGCACTTGGACTTTAGCCACAAATACAAAGTCAGAATGTGGCGCAAAATGAAGTTATTCATTCCCCAAACTGTTAATTCTGAGCTTGGATGCATCTGTGATAAATAACATGTAATGGATACATAAAGCCAGCAGGAAGTAAACAAGTGAAACAGAGAGAGACCTCTTAGGATGCTGAGAAAAGAAGGGATCAAAGGAAGGAAAAAGGTCAAACAGAAGCGATCAAGGATGAGAAGTATCTGGCTCTCACACACCTTACCGCGGCCAGCATCCTCTGACTAGTGCAGACACACACACACACATTATGAATGAAGTTAACAGTGAAAGGAGAAGACATCTGACAGAGTTGATGCTAATATCGTCCCTAGATCCAGTAGTCTGACTCTCGCCCGGAGGACACGTGAGGGAGGAACGATGATGGATGGCAAATGGGAGCAAAAGTAATGAAGCGTGAAATTCAGACGTCAGACACGATTACACGTGTCACGCTTTAGGAAAACAAAGTGTGTGTCCTCACCCGACTTCCGTACAGTTCCTGGAGTGTTGTTCCCACCAGCCGGTGTCCCTGGCGCCCCCGGTCCTGCTTTCTTTGTCAGCAGACTGTTGAAGAAGTTGGCCAGCACGCCCTCACTCGTCTGACCTGCAGCATAAAGGAGCCGTGGTCAGACCGGAAGCTGGGAGCAGCGGCAGACAATCATTCAGGCGCGGATGTGCGGATACCTGACTGTGGCATGGCGTTTGCTACGTTTGCTGCTGCTGAGCGATTGCTCGTCCTCGGGGAGCCCGCGGGCGCTCTGCTAGCCGTGTCCTACACACAGCAACGGGTTCTTTCACACATTTGATCACAGAAATAAACATTTCTTTCAGGTTATTTAACGGAAAAGAAGCCCTCACCACCGGCCGCCCCGCCGCCACAGCAGGCTGTTTGGCAAGCAGCGACTGCAAACGAGAGCATGACAGGACTTTAATTAGCTCCTAATTGACGTTTCGTGTTCGATTTGAATTGAGAAGCTGTCTGACCTGCAGCTTCACCAGAAACACCTGGTCGTCCTCGGCCTGAATCTCCTTCTCATGAACGATCTAGTGACAGGAAGACAACAGATGCTGCTTGTAGAACCAACAGGACAGTTAGGTTATTCACTACTTAGTGATCAAGCTACGCTGCAGAAGCTGCACCTTCCTGACTGGCGGCTTGACTATTACGTCCTCGTAGCTGTCATCTGACTTTAGCGTCTGGAGGTTCTCGTGAAGGATGGCGATCTTCTTCTCATTGTCCCAGCCTGAAGGACTGGATTTGGACAAACAGAGTTAACACACCAGACACTACGGTTTCCAAGGAGACGCGGTGGACACGTCGCTTACATGAAGACGGCGTCCTTCTCCACCACCTGAGCCAGGCAGTGGAAAGGAAAGCCGTAGAGTCTGTGAACGAGGTATTTGTAGAGGATGTCCATGTTCTTCATCTCCTTCACCGACGTGTAAAGCAACGAGGCGCCGTCTGGCATCGCCGTCAAGGACATTTAGAACTTGTTTTGGAGCAAAGCAACGTGTCACGGCCTTTCAACCCACCAACACGAGGCAGAGAGGGAAACAGCTGGTTTCTCTAAAACCCTCCTGTCACCTCTGGCTGCCCCCCCCCCCCCCCCCCCCCCCGCCCCGGCTCCTGCTGATTAATGCAGGGGTCCAAAGGTTCACAAACTAATCAGAGATTTTACAAAAATAAAAATTATTTTAAAGTTTATAAAACTCCTACCAGAGAAAATCCCATGCATCTCTTCTGCCATCTGGTGGAGGATCTAAGAACTGCAGCGAGACAGATAGATAGGCCGATGTATTGATAGATCAATAAATATATTGATTGATCAATCGACAGATAGGTGGGTAGATGGATATTACCAATTTGCTAATGCTTTGTTCTCATTCTGTAGTTTTTAAATAACAGATTTGAACCCTACCTGCCCTTTTCACCTGTAACGTCTCGTCGGGTCAGCACCTTGAATAAAAGCACTTCACTAAAAAGTCATGGTGTTTATTCAGGATACACTGCAGACAGAAGCGTCTGACGTGGGACTGGATGAAGTCCAGATGCTCGTCTCTGTAGTCGTGCTCCTTCTCCAGGGTGCTGATAGCGTCGCACTGAGGACAGACAAGCAGGCAACACTCATCAGGAGTGTGTTTTCAGTTAAATGGGTAACTGGTGTGTGTATGTGTGTGTACCTTAGTGCAGACCACCACCACTGGGATCCCCAGGTTGTGTGTGAGTGTGTTGTCCCCTAGAGGAAGCAGCACGCCCTCCTCCTCCTCGCTCCTCCTCTGTGATGCTCCATCCTCTCCGCTGCCCGGCTCTGTGTACTCCTGAAAATGTTTTACAACTGCAAACAACGCAGAACGGAATGAAAACCGCTGAAGTGAGACACACATGCCATCACACTCAGAACATGCTTCTTAAGACAAAAGACTAAACATCTGATGCTCCTGCAGGGATGCTGCTCTCCTTCCTCCCAGGTGCTCTGACGGACGTCCACACGACTCACTTTTACGCTCCATCTCTCGCAGCTTTTCTGGGGCCACTCTGAGTTTGTCGATGTGTTCCCTAGCAACGGCAGCCCACTTCTGAAGAGAGTCCAGGGCGTTCCACGGCCGCGACATGTCAACCGCTATCAGCAGCAAAGTGTTTTCAATCGAGTCCACCGGAACGGCTACGCCCTGCAGACCTTTATGGTAAAGGTCGCCATCCAACACCCACGCGTTGCATCTGGTGTGGTCTACGTAAACACAAATGTACACAAAAAAGCCCAAACCAAACATCAACCTGAAGGAAGAACAATACGGATGGACTTAACCATTTTTATTTAGAATTACAAACAACTGTTGGTTACCATCAACATCATCGTCATGGACACTGAAGTAGAGGTATTCCAGGCCACGCCCCTTCATGTACTCCTCAATTCCCTGGAGCTTTGCAACCAAGGTGGTCTTCCCTGATCCCACCTCACCTAAACACAAGACATGAGCACGCTCCAGTCAGGGAAAACAGGCCTTTTCCATTTGCACCTTACATGTTAACTTATGTTTCCTTTTTCACAACACGTCAGGATGTTGATTAAACCGTCAGAAATGTGGATAAAAATAGAAAGATGTCATGAAATGCACAAATTGGGAAACTGGATGTATGTAAATACCGTTACTCCTGTCCTCAATCAACCCATCTAATATCTAGCTTCAATTCCATATATTACCACCCATATTTGTGTCTCAGCTTCTGATATCAACGACTACATTTGTCCTCACTAGAATAAAAACATTTAAGATGTTTAAAATAGTAATTATACATTTAAGATTTACACAATATACTTGTTAATAACAACTACTTGTTGAAATGTCACTGTTATTTAAATGGCAGCCCAAAATATCACTTTTAATGACAAAAATATGCAAATGTGTAAAATTTGGGCAAATTTTTCTTAGTATAGAAAAATGAGGAAAAATGTGTCTGTGAGAACTAGGAGCCGGAAGCCAAAAACATGTGAACCGGATATATTCTGTTAGTGATGTCTGTGATGGTGACTCTGAATAATAGCCTGGCAAGCCAGACTAAATAAATGTATTATTTAGTCTGGCCACGCTCCATTGACGGCTCTCGGTTGTGGGGCGGGTTCTACCGTTGTCTTTCAAATGATCTCCGCATTCCACTGGACAATGAATGTGACATACTAATGTTTCACTCTGTTGCATCATCCCACCCACCAGGCATATAGAGTGCCCTGATTGGCTCACAAAGCGGATAAAGCTCTGTGATTTGTTCACTAAGCAGATAGAGCACTATGATTGGCCCACCATTATGGACCAATCACAGCTCTTTATGTGTTTGAAATCCCTCTAGAGAGCTGTGATTGGCTAGCCAGAGTCCTGGTAGGAGCTGCGGAGGTTCCAGTGGAGCATGCCTAGACCAAACTTTGCAAAGCAAGAATTTGGTCTAGTTCACTAGGCTATCAGAATACAGGAACTGTTTTAAAATACCTGAAATGGTCACTTATTAGAAAGAACTGATGTGAAAATACAAACAGGCATTTGTTTGTTTTTTCTAATATTTGAGTGAGATGCTGTTGTGATAACACTGCTTGCCATACAGGTGTTTTCTTTCTGGTCCCTACCAGCCCTGCCTAGCTGCTGCTGCTAGCATCACAGGATGCTAGAATGACTTGCAAGCTGGGCACGCTCAGGTCGCTCTCACGATGGCGAGCTGCGTGAGCGCGTCCGTGCAGTGAAATGCACCTGTCTCTTAACAGCTGTCTCCATGGCCGCAGAAACACGCACGAAAGCACCTTTAGTTATTTCCGAGCTAGCTAACCACATAAGTCAAGCCATCGGCATCACCAGCAGCAGGTTCTGGCTCAGCCAGGAGATAGACAAGAGACTGATACCCACCCATGACCAGGACATTTTTCCCAGACGGTAGCTTTGATCTGGAATGGGTGGACACTTCACTCAGGATGGTGGACCTGCGGATAGAACAGCCTCGTTACCGCAGAGCCAAACAATGCTCGTTAAAAACAATGACGGACAGTGAGACGCTAAAGCAAGCTAGTCAGTCTGGTGCTGATGCTAGCTAGCATCTTTAGCAGGCTAGCTGTCAAACCATCCTCATCCCAGCAGTGGACCCTGTCCGAGTCCCCGCTCTCCAGTCTCTAAACAGCGGCTCTACAACCTCACCACCCACCAAAGGTTCTGTCCGTCATCCTCCTCTGGGTTAGAGCCCTCCACTGAGTTCTTAGCTCCCGTTAGGGTGGAGGATAATGATGCACTCCTCCCTGAAGTCGCCATCTTCGAAGGGCTTGTAAACCTAACGGGGCGCCCGGATGTAGCTGCAGCAGCAGTGAGCTAGCCCACCCCGGAGCAGAGCGCAGCACGCCGGGGCCGGGGCGTGGTCCGCCCCGCACAAAGACCAGGCTCCGGTCCACACGGGGGGTGGACAGGTAGAGCCAGGGACACGCCACCATAAATAATAATAGAAATATAATAGAAAAGGAGTACAGAGAATTACAGATTTTTAATTTCTGTCATTTTTCTGATGTATAACCACAAACAAAACTGTATTTAAAATAAATTATTATTTACTGACATTATTATTATTATTATTATTACTATTACTATTATTATTATAGCTCACAATATTGAAAAAGTGCAACACGTAACTGTTTTCTTTGACTTTGAGAGGATTTTAAATTTTGTTTAGGATTTATGGGTGATGTACTGACCACGTTGACGAAACTGCCTTTTGCAGTATTTATTCATATGAACTGCTTTATCTTTAAACTTTCTGGTTCAAATTTTATACATCTGTTTTTATTTGCGTATTTTAAAATTGATTCTACAATGTACTGTTTTATGTTTTCACAGATTTTCTTGCACCTGGGAATTGCCTCTGTGCATGAAATGTGCTATATAAATAAAGCTGCCTTGCCTTAAGCCACATGTTGTTTGCTCCCATACTGTCAGTGCATGGATGTCTGCAGACGTTCTGATCTTGAACCTCTCTAATGTCATTTTAATCCCTGTCTTTTTTCGTAGTTCTTTTGTTCTGGGTTTTTATGGGATGGAGCATGAAATGTTGCTTTTTAAGATTGTTTAGCTTATTTTATTTTGCTGCACAAGTTCTATTGAGTTGATTTCTTAAATGAATTAATTTAAATGTGACAAAAAGCAGAGACAGAAATCTGTATAACATTTTACATCAGTATTTATCCAGTCGTACAGATTAAATGTGAACAGACAGGTTAAAACTTAACCCTTTGAAGCATGAATTATGAAATAATCAACCATGATTTTTTAATCATCTTTAGGTGTGAATGAAACAAATGTCAACAAATAGTTTTTGTAACACTTAATTTACAAATAATCTAAACATGTCCACCTCAGTGGACAGTGTGCATTCTGAACATGAAATATGTTGGCTTGACTTACTGAAGTCCAAATGGAGGGGCTCAAATGCAACAAAGTCTTCAACAGCTGTGCTTAATAGCAAAAACAAATACATAACACTTTTGAGTACCTGTCCACTGTAGTGACCATTATGCATCAAAGGGTTAAAATTCGATTGCACGTTTGCCTCAAGCATAAGAACGTCTGTGCACATGAGTAAAACCCAAAAAGATGTGACTGCACAACAATACACGTTTATTATTATGCAATGTTTATCTGGTTATTAAAATAAACAACCAGGACAAATGCTTTTCAAAAGACTACACAAAGCCGTTTAGGGATGAATTACACCCCCCCCCCCCCCCCCCCCAAAAGATGCTGCCTGCAGGATCAGTGCTCAGATTTGTGAATGAAATGGCAGCGGGCCCAAGATGGAGATGAAAGCTGTAATTCCATGTTGGATTTGAAAGCGCTTCAAACAGATTGTCTTTATTAAGCTCAGTCCATGCTTCTGTAGGCTATGTACACCCTACATCAATGAATTAAATATAAATAAATAAATAAATAAATAAATGCTGTTTAAGCAGCAACACAACAGCCCTTAAAGCATTTTTGAATTATTGTAAGATGAATAATCCGCCGGGCAGGTGGAGCGTTCACCGGTCTCAGGTGTGCTCTCGCTGCTTATTATGAAATCACTGAAGCACGTCGCAGCCAATCAAAGCTGAGAAGCAGAAAATTAGTTTTTTTTCTTCTTTCCCCACCCCAGTGGACAGTTCACCCCGACAGCCGCTAGATGGCGTTAAAACACAGTTTTCTGTCTCCTCCGGTCCCCGGCGCGCTCCCTGCGGCCCCGAAGGAGTCGGTGGATTACAAACTCCAATTGAAGTGTGCGCACCGTCCTCCTCCTCCACGTCTTTCATCCGGAGTGAAACCAGGGAGCGCACCGTGTCAGAGCAGAGGCAGTCCAGCCCAGCTCCGGCTCTCAGCGCCACAAGCCGGTGGAGCTCCGCAGCCGAGGAGGGGAGGGGGTCGTATTAAAGAGTGAGATGGGTCCGGAGACGGTGAGGTATTCGTGATTGTCCAGTGAACGGCGGCGAAGTTCTCCTGCTCCGCTCGCATCTTTTTCTCCAGGACGCCGAGGTGAGTTTTATTCTCTCTCTCTGTTTAAATAATAGTTACAAAATAAAACCCAGGCAGGCAGCCGGGCTGGCTCCTGAGAGGCAACATCCTGGGTTGATTTCTATATTTTCCTTCGAAATTATTTGCACGATTTTAAGATGCAACCCAACAGAAAAGGGGAATGCATTAATTTTTAGTTTATCATTATTATTTTTGCCAAGAAAGAAGTAAATGCGCATGTTTGTTAAATGTGCAAATATTTAACCAGCTTTTATTTAAATGTATCCTCCTGCAAACATGAAAAGAGGAAGCAAACATCCTTTCCCTCTGTGACTCAATCCCACAACCCCCCTGCAAACGTCACTGAAAGTTTGCAGCTCCAGATAAGTTCACGTCCCACTTTTCCCTCTCTGCGTTTAATCATTTCCCACATAAACTACAAGTAAAGGGCCACTTCTTTAGGATGAGATGCATGTGAAGTGGCTAATAATCAATTTGTGACCAAGCAATTACTGCAGGTGTCATGGACCTTCCTGTGACTGAATGCCAAATCTGTCACAGATGCTGTTGCACCTAAGGGAAGGTGAACGGTCACGCTCACACATCCACCTGCACACACAGAGTCAAGGGTCGAGGCAATCGAGCAGCGCTGATTGTCACAGTGTGCAAAAAAAAGGAAGGAGCTGAGAGGTCAGAGCTGTGGTGGTGTGATTCCAACCCAGCTCTGCAATCAGCCGCTGCTATTTGAGAATTACAAGAAAGAGAAAAAAATCTAACTCTCATCTTGCTATTTAGGCTCAGCTGTTTATATAACAACAACGAAACTAAATTCAGACGATCCGTCAAACAGAGCAGCGTTTCAGAAAAACAAAAACAAGCAAAATCTGCAGATTATTTATTGATTTTTTGAGGCTATAGGGATAAATTGTTCTGGTGAATAAAGAAAAAAGTCACAGTGTTTACAGAAATAACTTAAAACTCACAGTAGTAATAATTGAATATGGACTAAATCAGAAATTGCTTTTAAATCTTGATTCGAAACAATTGTTAAAAATAAATGAACCTCTAAAAATGCTCCGGACAAAAATGATAAGTACGTCTGATTTAGTGACACAACCTTTTGAGACAATCAAGTGATTTTGTTTCCTTTGCACCTGTCAACAGGTATTTTCACTTAAAGGGTGTCCTTGATCAATAATCTTACACGGCCACTGACTAGTCCAGTGTTTGGTTCTGCTCTATTATTGTGTGTTTTTGGCCCTTATCCTGATGGAGAACTACTGACCTGCATCTGAGACCATGCATGTTTTCACAAATTTCACCCTGGAATGCCTCCACAGTCTTGAGATCTCATTGGATGTCTTCAGTCATCATTAACATTATCCATCTCTTGAATTTGTCATGAGTTTTCCTTGTGTGTCCATTTCCAGGTGGGTTTTGTTGGCCTTACATTTCTGAACAATGTCCCCAACTGTTCCCCTGGTTTGGCAGACCGGGGTGGTAGTGGTGATGTGGGGATCATGCTCCTGAGCCTCCCTGGTGAAGTCTATTCAGGGGTTCTGGAGAGGAGGGTCCTACGGTTTGTCAAACCTCAGATTCAGGAGGAGCAATGTGGTTTTTGTCCTGGCTGTGGAACACTGGACCAGCTCTATATCCCTAGGGTGGTCCTGGAGGTGAGAATGTGTTGGTTCTGTGGATTTGAAGAAGGCATTCGATCGCGTCCCTAGCGGGCCGTTTGGGGGGTACTTTGGGAGTACGGGGTACCAAGCCCTCTGATATGGGCTGTTAGGTCCCTATATGGCTGGTGTCAGAACTTGGTCTTGCCGACAGAAAGTCAGGGTAGAATGCCTTCTCCAGGTCAGGGATGAGGTCCTGTCCCAAGTGGAGGAGTTTAAGTGTCTCTGGGTCTTGTTCACGAGTGAGGGAAAGATGGAGCACAAGACTGACAGGAGGATTGGCGCTGTGTCTTCAGTGATGTACTGAGCTGAAAGGCAAAGCTCTTGATTTACCGGTTGATCTACGTTCCAACGCTCATCATGAGCTTTGAGTGGTGACCAAAAGAATGAAATCGCAGATACAAGTGGCCAAAATGAGTTTTCTTCTCAGGATGGCCGGACTCTCCCTTAGAGATAGGGTGAGAAGCTTGGTCATCCGGGAGGGGCTCAGAGTAGACCAGCTGCTCCTACACATTGAGAGGAGCCAGTTGAGGATGCATCCTTGATGCCTCCCCGGTGAGGTTCTCCAGGCACGTCCAACTGGGAGAAGACCTAAAGGAAGACCCAGGACACACTGGAGGGACTATGTCTCTCGGCTGGCTAGGGAACGCCTTCGGATTCTCCCAGAAGAGCTGGCCCAAGTGGCTGGGGAGAGGCTGGTCCTCCCTGCTTAGGCTACTGCCCCCGCGACCTGACTCCGGATATGCAGCTGAAAATGAATGGATGGATGGGTGCCAACTGTTGTCAGAAGAAAATCAAGCCAATCAGAGAAGATCTTCTAGTTTCTACCTTTAGCATGTTGATCAATGATGGTGTTTCTAATCTCTTGAATCAACTTCGTCCTGAGCTTCCTGTGGGCCACGTGTAGGGTGGTACACACTCTGTTACCAAACAGCACTGTGACTAGTGGTCAAAAGGTCAAAGACATGATGCTAATTGTAGGACACACTTTTTCTTTGGCATGTACCATTGTTTGTATCTTTGGTATGCTCTTGCTGTGTTGCTTTTCTAACCGCACTGGTGGTTCTTTTTTAAAACACAGAAAGGGTTTCTTTTTACCTTGCTGACAGTTTCGTTTGCGGCTGCAAACTTCCTCAGAGCTGACGCTATGTCCATGTACCATCATTTTTGTCAAGTGCTATAGTTAACGCTAGAATTAGGGTTAGGGTTAGAGTTAGAGTTGGGATTACCAACAATTTTATCTACGTTTGCATTTGGTATAGCCATTTTTTTTGTGTGTGTGTGCGTGTTTTTTTTTAAAATGTTCTGCACTTCAGATTCTCTAGAGGTTGACATTATGGTGCAATAAAATCAAAATTAACCAGCTGTCACTTTTCGTAAAGCACTGACGCCAGCGTGAGATTGTGCGATAAAGTGTGATGTGGGAAAGTTAATCGTCACCTCCAGCTATGTGTAACACACGTGACAGCTGATGCTTCTGCTGAACTGCAAGGGCAGAGGATGGAAGTAGAAATCCTCTGCATCACCCTTTGCTATCAGTGTCAACTGCTGTCAACCAGAACAGACGAGCATCTGCTGCTTCCCACACACACGTTTATCCCAAAACATACTACAACGCAGAGGGAAGCACTAGAAAACGCAACTATCATCTCGCCACTCCCACACCACTGGGTTGTAACTCATCCGCCTGCCATGTGGCTCGGTACACGCCCGTTTGTCTGTATACAGTCGCTTCGCTGGGCTTAACTAAAAATACTCACACACTCTTAGAGCATGAATTATGGAAGGCAGAGGGAGAGAGGAAGGCATCCAGGTCAGAGTCAGACCCAGTTCTAAGAGCTTCTCTCCCTGAGGATGATACTACTAGACCGCGGCATTAAAATTCAGCTGCTGTTATCCAGAACACTGGACCTGTGTTCGTCCTGCTGCTCTCGCTAACTGGACCCGAGGCTACGTTTGCGTTCAGACCTGTTGGTTTGCAAAATGAACCCATAAATTTGGGGATCAATTATACATGTGATGGAGCGCTACCAACAATAAAATCAATAATCTAAAATCCTAGCAAGTGTGCTCTCGGCCGTTGTAGCCTTGGAGTCAACAGCTGATTAAAGACCTACATTTTCCACTCTCTGGTTAAGTGTTTTTTAAATGTGAAGCTCCCATCTGTAAAGGTGTTTTGTGCACAGCTCAGTCCAAATGTTAGAAAAAAGCCCATCAACACCACTGATCAACACACTGTCATTTTTACACTCGTACATTTTGTGAGGCATTATTTCTGGCGTCGTTCGTCATCTTGTGAGCTTGACAGTTGCTGGTTTGCTAATTGTGTTTCACAGCAACGAGCCAGGCAGGCTGTTTGCTTCTCTAACATCTCCAAATCTCATCTTTACAAAGGACGAAGGAGACTGATCAGCCAACAGGCCAAACTCAGAATCCAGGCAGTCACCAGGGTGCTTCTCTAAACTTCCTGGGTGATACGCCGACTTTCATGGAATTCCCTGTATCATTGCTTTATTCGAAGACCAAGTTCACTCGTGTTTTCAATGCATTTGCGGTGGTCTCTGTTGTGAATGAGTTACTTGTGAGTTCATCTCTGTAAGGGAAACAGCTTTGGTGCTCTGGTTTTAGGAAGTAGAATTCAGCCAGCAATGTGGGAAGCATTAAACAGCAGGAATTGTAGTCTTATTTCCTGAAATTTGGACATATTTCCTTTGATCGGTTAACAGCAATGTGACTCTACCGCTGACTCCTGTTGTTTTGCAGCGTTGATGTTTTATCTCCACAAATAACACAAACGTGACGAAGTTCTGCCAAAACAGATACACAACTAGTAACTAGATGGAAATAAGTATTTGTCGTTAATATTGGCCCACTTTAACTTCTCAGATCACCACAATGTTTTAAAATATCAGCTGATACCGACATCGATGCAGATGTATTGTGCATCCCTGATTATGACTAATATGTTATAATAAAACACACAGAAGGCTAAATGATGAATAAATCACCATAATCGGTACATCGTTCCCTTTTTGTGCTGTTTTCATTCATAATCATGAAATGAAGCCAGTGTTGAAGTGTTCTAAACAACGTAGCAGCCTCTTGACTCTGTAATGAGGTGCTCTTTCAAAAGGGGCAGCATACGCTGCCTATCGCTTACAAGAGTCAGTGTCCGTTGAAAATACACGGGCACGAACACTCACACAGGTGCAGGAGGTTATGAGTGGAGTAAAGAAGTGAGTAATCCTGGGTCCGTACACCCACGCAGACCGGAGAAGAGGTTTTATTGAGCAGAATGATTGAAAACACCTGTGTAGGTGGCAGGTACTCATGCTCAGGTGTTTTCCTCGTGTATGTGATGTCAGTCATGTCCCGATGATATTCCTCCGGTGCCTATTGATGTGTTTATTGCTTCTCGTGTGGCTGGAGCTTCATATAATTATTGTCCAGTGAGTGAAAATCTCTTTAAAGCTTTATCCTCTATATGTGTTCGCTCTACTTTTACTGTAAAATATAATTAATTATTAACAATTCATTGGAAAAGCTCATAGAACAAATGCCCGTGCTGCTGTGGTTAGACACTAGAGAATGTTCTATTTAGGGACCGTGAACATTATACAGACTGTGGAAACCAGAGGAGAGACCCGGTGATGGTGTCCTGGAGAGTCAGCAAAGTGTGTGTGTGTGTGTGTGTGTGTGTGTGTGTATGTGTGTGTGTGTGTGTATGTGTGTGTGTGTGTGTGCACTTTTTGCAATCATCTGCATGTTCCTATCTTCGGTGTGTATGTGCATGAATGCATTTGTGTTTATGTAGCGTGTTCCATGTTTACCTGTGTGTGTTTTGACTGATGCTCCTGACCTTGTCCTGACAATCTGTTTGCTTAGTCAGGTCTATCTATCTATCTATCTATCTATCTATCTATCTATCTATCTATCTATCTATCTATCTATCTATCCGTCCGTCCGTCCGTCCGTCCGTCCGTCCGTCCGTCCGTCCGTCCGTCCGTCCGTCCGTCTGTCCATCCATCCAGACTTACCTTTTCTCTCTCTTCTTTGTTCCAGTGTGTGATCGTGTGTTCAGCATGAGTAACATCTACGAGTCTGCAGAGGCCACGCTGGGCTTCATCAGCTCTCCGTGCCTGACCAAAGTAGAGCTGAGAGTGGCGTGCCGGGGGATCGCGGACCGCGATGCCCTCTCCAAACCTGATCCGTGCGTGGTGCTGAAGGTGCAGTCACATGGCCAGTGGTTTGAGGTACAGTAAGTACGTATTTTTTTGGGAGAGGATGGGGGGTGGGGTGTGTGTGTTTGTGTGTGTGTGTGTGTGTGGGGGGGGGGGGGGGCAATATTGACTCCTGGAATCAGAGTTGAGTTGGTCGTTCCAGTGTCTTTTCCTTATAACTCGTTTTGAGATGTTGCGAATTTCAACCAAAGCATCTGTGAGTCTGCATGTTCTGATGGTGCTAACTTGTGACGTCATGGTGCTCATGAGTCACAGGGCACGGAAGAGTTGGATGGTGTTAAAATTTGGCACATTTTTAACACTGGTGACCAATGCCAGAGTTACTGAAAGAGGTAATTGCCAATATGAAGGTTTATATGGATATATCATTTGGAAAAGATCTGATTCGTGTACAGCTCTGACAGGTCGATACCGATTCATATAAAACAGTTATCGTAAGACCTGCCCTCTGACCAACCAGTGCATATGCTGTCATTACATAATATATAAAACATTATATTACGTAACATCAGACTTTAAAGAGAAATTCTGATACACAGAATAAGTACAAATTTTCATTGCTATTTACACTCAGCAGTGGTGAGGACAGAAGACAATGTCAGATTTTTCAGTGACGAACATCTATCTATGAATTTAGCCTGTCACTGGTTGAGCTGATTATGTGGGAAAATATCATTATTACTCATAATATAACAAACCAATCTGATAATTAAAAAAGGATATGAATTAAAATCTGTTTTCAAAAATTTGAATTTTTTAAAAATACATTATATTCCCACACTAAAGTTTTTTATTGTTGTTACATTTAGTGTTGCAAGTGAAATTTTATGCAAAATCAGTTGGAAACAAGGGTAAACATAGCCTTGTAGCATTTAAAATATTTAAAAAAAAACTGGAGTTACAAACATAAAAAACTCTTTTCTTTCCAGGATTAGTTGAGTGCTGTTTTTTTTTTGCAGACATCACCTGAAATGATTCAAGCATAACACCAAACTCATGTTTTACTAAATGATTGTTCGTAATCAAGCACTCCAGCTTTCACACCAAGCTATGATTGTGATGTTATCTCATGTCTGATTCTTATGAATTATGGAAACTAATTGATATGCAGCTGAGACTAAAAACAAGAACTTCTGCAGACAGCTGTTGTGTCTCTTTCTTTTTGTTGTTCATAATGAAAACAATCAGACCTCCTTTTTTAATCCTGAAGTTATTGTCAGTTTTATTGGACTCATAAACTAAACAGGTTTCAGGGTAGTGGAAAACCCCATCTTTGGGTAGACTGTGTTGCTTTTAAGTGTTCTTTTTAAATTCCAATTATTAATAAAGCTCCAACTCCTGTTCCAAGACTCTTTAATGGAGTAGTCTGAGGATTACAAGAACACCACATAAACGAATAGATATGTCCTGATGATTTCAGAGGAAAGTTTATGTTTTTCTCTTAAACTCAGTTCATATGGCAGTATAATCATGCCAATTTTTTAACTACTTCTCCCCTTCCTGATCACAATAAAGGCTGTCAAGATAATCTTATCAGATAATCCTACCGTGTGTGGTGTGTTATGAGTGCTTTGGTCCAGTCAGAAAGATGTGAGGGGAGACCACTTAGATTATACACACAGGATTTCAAAAATGCTGAATTGTCTGATTTTCAAGGAAAAAGTGCTGCCTGTTGAATGTGACATATAGCCAGTCAGAAAGCAAGGCATGCTAGATTCGCCTTCTCCACCATGTTTGTTTACTCCATAATCACGAGATTTCCTGACTGACTGGGAAAAATCCCAGAGTTAAATCAGTTTGTGTGTAGGTAGGCATTGGAAAGTACTTGATTTAAAAAAAATGTAAGTAAGGAGTAAACAAATCAAATTAAATTAAATTAGGTTGAAGAATCCACAATTTTTTTGTCTTAAATAAAAAATTTTCCTTACAAGGAAAAAAATGATAAGAATTCAACAAACATTAAAAAAATGCATTGTGATTGTAGACTGTAGGTGTGTGCTGTTGGACCAGGGAGGAAGGACCAAAATACAAATTAATGGAACAATATGTAAGATATTTACAGTGAAATAATCACAGTCTAACGTCTCTGTCATGTTGGAAGAAAGGTTAAATTTAAACAGATTTCTTTCTCGGCCGGCTGGGGGGTTGACAGTTTTCCTCCATTCAAAAAGACTAAAAGGGGAAATAGTTAATGTTTAAAATGTTTGAGCCCGCAAGGTGGCCAAGTCAGCGCCGATCTAATGCTCAAGCACCAGAAATTGTTATTCAACACCAGCAGGCCAAACGCATCAGCATTTTGTGCACATCATATAAGCCAGTAAACAGGAGCGACCCAGAAGTTATTTCTTATACCCATAAGAAGCCATGGCATCTTTTTGTTTTACTCTAATATCAGGTGATAAATGTTAACGGCTAACACTGAGCTAACAATGCTAACTGTGATTTAAGAAGAAGAAGAAAATATCATTTCTATAGCGCCTCTCAAGATAAAAATCACGAGGCGCTTAAAGACAGAATAATCAGATGTTTGCTGCCAAACTTCAGTCAGAAACAGAAAATCCAGGTTTTTAGAGAGAATTAGATCATTGAGCAGGAAGGACTTATTGTTAACAGAGCGGGTATTTAATAGAGCCATGCTGAGTGAGGTGGAGGAATCAGAAACTACAGAAACAGCTGGAGTTAGTGGACATAAATTAGCAGGGTTAGATCCACGGTGTTTATAAAAACCACTTATGGAGGGAACAGGAGGAGAAACCACTGAGGAATGAGGATAAACCGACCTTAAAAAACTTGGACGGATGAACCGCGTCGCAATGCGGCCTGGCAGGAATGCGGAAGTGGCGCTCAGGTCACCAAACAAAGGACAAGAAACTAGAAGATCGCGCCGATGTTTACTAGATAAACCACGCTTTAAGAGAAGTCTTATTCTCACCTGGATTCCTGCTCGTTTACCTCTTTTTCTCCGACGTTTTCCCGGGACCGGACAAACATCGTTGGAGGTGCGCTGCTCTGGATCGTCGATTGCTTCCGGGCCAGTGCGCCACTCAGGTAAACAAACAGGATGGTAAATCCTCGGTGCGTCTTGGGCAATCATGAACAAACGGAAGGACAAAAGAGTCTGGCGATCATAGGAGATGGTAGCAGGGACACTACTGAAGAGGATCGCAGACAGGAGCAAGGTGGAAAAGAGGAGGTTAGTGGAGAAAAGTTTGAAAAAGTGGCCGGTGACTGCGGCTAAGCCAAGCACAGGCGCCATCTTGTTGCCAACCGGAAGCGGAAGAGAGAAGAGAATAGTCGACTCTCAAAAATCTACTTTTCCAATTACCAACAACTCGAAAATGGATGGATGGGTGGAGTAGAAACTACAGCTAACTGCATTAAAATGTAGTTTAGTGAAAGTAAAAAGTAGGTCTAAAAAATTATATAAGTAAAGTACAGATACAGAAAAACTGTACTTGAGAACAGTAGTAAAACAGTAGTAAAATGCTAGTACTTTTGTACTTTGTATACCGTATTCATGGTCTTTATCACCACTAATGTATATTTTGAAAATCTTCTGACATTTTCACATCCTGCTGTGTGAACCAGGTCCTTTGTAAGTCAAGCATGTATCAAGGTTTGTGTTTTGTGCATGAATAAAATATTTATGATCTTTTCAACAGATTTAAAAAAAACATTTGTGCACTGTCACACCTCAGCAAAACAACTGTTAAAACCCCAAAAACTAGATAGTGTGCACAAAAGTGTTTTTTTTTTCTCTCTGGTGCTCAGGATCAAGTGCTCAGAAAGTAGTGCAACTCTGTTTTAGAGACTTCACAAAAAGCTACTTTGTGCTGTGTGTGTGTGTGTGTGTGTGTGCACAAACAGCATGCACGTATGTATTTTCACAAAGCAAAAACTGCAAAAGTGTGCATATGCGCCACAATAAGCCCATCTGGAAAGTGTGAGGCTGAACAAATGCTATCATTGCAGCACTCTTTTACTCTCCTAACTAGATAATTGGGTAGAGCAAGTGTGAAGAAGCAGTTGTGCGAGTGTGTGTTTGCGTTCTTGTGTTAATAACTCAGCGTTTGAATGACTCGCCCTGGCTATTGAGGTAAGTGTCAAAGAAAAAGCCAACATCTGATGTATGTTGGGTCTGCAAAGCGTGCACTTCACTTTTGTGACTGTTCTTTTGTGCACATGTGAGCCGCAGCGTTATCGACAATTCAAAAGCAGTCTTTCATTTCTGCCAACGATTGAAAGGTTCTGCTGTCAGCGGGGACAGACTTTAATTTGCGGTTCTGATCCTTTCTGTGTCAGGCGTTCGGTGAGAAGAAAATCTCAGATCAGTGTTTCAGCTACAGTCAGATGCGGTGAAACAGCTTGTGTGATTTTCACAGCGTCAAGAAAAATCAATGCTTTCTGTTCTACTGTTGATAAGTGTAAACAATCTGGTAATGGCTATTTGGGGTAAATTGCTGCCGTGCTGAAAAGTCTTCTGAGGTTCACAATCAATGCCCAGTAGCTGTGTGTTGGACATGGATGAGATTTTGTTATTTCTGCTAACTTTAAGCTCAGTTTGAAAGAAGGTTGCCAAAAATAAGCAGCACATTTAAAAAATAAATGACATTTTATTAAACTTTTTAGGCCATCATACCATATTGTATCACATACTGTCATAACACATCTTATTGCATTGTTTTGATTGTTTTGCACCACATCTTATTGTATTGCACCGTACTCTTAAAGTAGTGTACGATACTGTAACGCATTGCATCATATCTTATCATAGCATTCCATATTGTATCTTGTCATGTTGTACTGCAAAGTAATTGTATTGAATGTTACAGTTTTTATTATCATATTGTGTCATGTTGTAACATACCGTACTGTACTATACTGTGTAGCGTAGTATCAATATCATAATTTAATTTATTGTATTTCAGTGTTTCTCAGTGATTTTCCATCATACCCCCAGGAAACAATTATTTTTGTGTGTACCAGCATGAAAAAACAATTCTACAAATAATGGATTCTCCTTTGAACCCCCCGACAACAGTCATGTGTCCAGGGGGGCATCATATCATATCATATCATATCATATCAAATCATATCATATCATATCATATCATATCATATCATATCATATCATATCATCCATTTTCTGAACCTGCTTTGTCGACTTAGGGTCGCGGGGGGGCCGGTGCCTATCTCCAGCTGTCAATGGGCAATCAGGTGGGGTACACCCTAGACAGAGAGCTAGTCCATCGCAGGGCAACACCGAGACACACAGGACAAACAATCATCCGCACACACACGCTCACACCTAAGGACAATTTAGACAGACCAGTCAACCTAAAAGTCATGTTTTTGGACCGTGGGAGGAAGCCGGAGGACCCGGAGAGAACCCATGCATGCACAGGGAGAACACGCATAAAGATCCCAGGCCAGGACCACACACACACACACACACACACACACACACACACACACACACACACACACACACATGCACACACACACGCACACACACACACACACACACACACACACACACACACACACACACACACACACACACACACACACACACACACACACACACACACTGAGTGTATATGTATGTATACACTGAGTATTTATGTATGTATGTACTATACCATACTGTGTGGTATCCATTTTATTTATTTTATTATACTGTACCAAACAGTATTGTGGTACCATGCATAGTATTATACTATGTTATGTAAGTTTGTATTGTATCACATCAAATTGTTGGCAAAACATACTGTATTGCATTGAATGATATTATGTATAGTGTATCGCACCCCTTTGCACTTTACCTCAGTTACATTTTTCATTGCTTTGTACCTTATAGTATTGTATTGTATCATACTGTTTTGTATGGTATTGTACTGTACTGTATCTTCCGGTGATGATGGCTGAAAAGTAAATTTGCAGCCTTGTTATTGGAAGGTTATTTAACTGAACCCCACAGTCATTGTGTCCTTGGGCAAGACACGTCGCCCTAACTTCACCCTCGCTGCCTGCTCGTGGTGGTCAAAGGCACCGATGGCACCCGTGTGTGGCAGTCCTGCCTTTGTCAATGTGCTCCAGGGCAGCTGTGGCTACAATGTGGTTTATCTCCATCGGTGTGTAAATGTGTTTGTGCGTGGTTGAATGACTGGATGTGTTGTGAACTTTGGGGAATTTTATAACACTGGAGGACGCTATACAAATACAAGCCATTAACCATATTGTACCATACTGTACTGTAGCGTACAGTATTGTATCGTACCGTACCATATGATATTGTCCTACATCTTATTGTATATGTTACATATCATGTTGTACTGTATCCTGTCATACCTTGTTACATAGAATCATATTTTCTTTTATACCACATTGTATCCCAACATACTGTTTCATAAAGCTTGAATTGATGGATTGTGTCTTTTTTTTCTTTTCATGCTAATTATTGGCATGTTCGCAGGTGGACCGTACTGAGGTGATTCGTAGCAGCAGCAGTCCAGTCTTTTCCAAGATCTTCTTGGTAGATTACTACTTTGAGGAGGTTCAGAGGCTTCGATTTGAGCTGCACGATATCAGCTCTGGCAACAATGGCCTCCGGGATGCAGACTTCCTTGGAGCGATGGAGTGTACCTTAGGACAGGTTGGTACTTGATGGTAAATGTGGAATGTAATTTATGTAAAACGAGCACTTTGATGAAACTGATGAGCTGGGATGAGTTCAAACTTGGATAAAGAAAAATCAAAGAACATTTCTTGAAGCTTTACTAATAAGCTGAACTATTACAACAGCGTCAACATTTTATACATGATTGATGACCTTGGCCATGTGCTTTCCTGTCTATCTTTGCAGCATACTGCCCAATAAACGTTCATTTACTGTAGAACAGCATATTAGTTTGGTAATCCAATGAGACAACGCGGCCATTTGAGAGACCTTAAGCTGGGGCTACTCAACTCCGGGCCTCAAGGGCCGGTATCCAGCACATTTTTGGTTTTAACCCTGATTTCAATCAGCAGGTGATTAACAGGCTTCTGCAGGGCCTGATGAGCTGCTGCAAAGGTGATTAAACCACTGAATCAAATGTGTTGGACTTGAGAAACAACTAAAACATGATGGATACCGGTCCTCGAGGCCTGGAATAGCCCTGCCTTAAGACATCTTAAGAGTAAAACCAAACCAAACACATGAGTGTGAAGGATAGCAGCAAATTTATGGTGTTCCTTCTAGTGTATGTATGTTTTCCAGAAATATTTGGGGTTGCAATTTTACGGTTGCTGAATTTCAGATCTGAAGCAAAAAAGTTTGGAAACCATTGGTTTAGGCAATCCCAGTGAAGATTTTAGGGTTAAAAACATCCAAATGGCATCTAAGCTAATCGCAGACACCAAAGCAAAAGTTTTTCTAAATGTGCTCCCTGTTTGTGAATGTTGACCAGACTATTAAATTTAGACACGTTTGAAAAGAACAACTGATGTAAACTCAGCCCTTTTTAGAAGATACGCCATGCTGACAAATCAGCGTAATACTGCCTCCACAGTGTGTCTTATGAAGCCGTGGCGGCGTGATTATGAGGGAATTTTGCGGCACGCTTGGTAATAATAACACTGCAACGCCAGCCTTGTGAATACATATTACGTCTTGGTGCAACAGAGGGAGGTGCCATGATCACGTGTGGAGCTACTGTCGAGCTCCAGCCGGCAACTATATTGAAAAAGAAAGTACACACTGCAATAAGTTTTGCTCTTGTAAACAGAATCACCTGAGATGGTAAACTGGAGCAATACAGAGCTCCAGGGGCTTCTCTTTGTTGGAGCTGGAGCTCAGATCACCAGAGACTGCACGGGGACTGTGGAGGACAGACACATTTAGATGCGGCTTGTGAAAAAAAAACTTAATGAATGTAGCTTTGATCGCAATAAAAGCAAGTTATGTCCAAGATAAATGGAAGTCCACGGCAGCTCAGAGATCGCCCCAATACCCCCTCTATACCGCCCTGGTGTTATATTGTGAAAAGGACTCGATTTCGCCACATTACCGCCACAGTCTGACCACTTATAAACAACCTAAGGTTCCCTGCATTGTGGCTAATTGGCAACATTGTTTTCTGAAAGAAGCACTCCGGAAACAATGAATTCCCACAGTTAAGGACTATTTAAGAACTTGATCATGCGATGCAAGCCATCATATTGATTGGCTAAGGCACTACTGTTTTTAACCCTTTCTGAGGTGTACTATATTTGATTCCCATGTGGGATTGTGCCCTACTATTTAAATATGTACCTCTTTTCAAGCCAAATTAGTTGGATTTGTGTGTCGGTAATGGCCCAGGGTCCACCGGTTGACAACTGCTGGTCTACAGTGTGTTTGTTTAAAAGCTGCTTAAATTCAAATTAGCTTTGCACTCCAAAAAAGAAAAAGAAAAAAGAAACATCCCACAAAATATATATTTTTAAATATCTGTATGTTAGATTTATTTTAAATTCCATACCATTCCATACCATACCATACCATACCATACCATTCCATTCCATACCATACCATACCATTCCATTCCATACCATACCAATTTATTTTTAAAGCACCATTTCAAAATAGCATGGCAACTAACCAAATCAACAAAACACAATGAAAGCATGAAAATCTGGTAAAATACATAAAAACATAGCATAAATAATCAAGGACAAAAATTCCTACTAAAAACAATAGAATAAGAGAACAGTTAGCAGCACTATCAAAAATAAAAATAATGCGACGAATGATAAAACCCCTTTGAAATGGCACAAATAAAACAAACAAACAAAAAAAAAAAGCTACAAGATGGTGCGAGGTGTTAAAAGTGAGCTACTGAATCATAAAATCTAAATTAAGAAAAATAAACCCGGTGCTGGATTTTCATGTAAAGTGTCACGGAGGAATACTGAAAAAGTGTGTTGATGTATTTGAAACAACATAAGAAGTGCAGATGTGTCTGCATGCCTCGGCTCAGGTACTGTCCTCTTCTGCATTTAAACTTCTACTGTCCTTGGATTTCTATTTGAATAAAGTCTCAAGGCTGCTTCAAACTGTTTTCAGCATGTTCATGAGTCCATATGCTAATCTTTGTAGCCACCCTCACTAAATAGGCAGAGCGGCTTCTGATGGCTTCAATCAATAATTAAAGATTTTCTTTATTTACTGTAATTATTTATCGTCTGGGAGCTTTTAAGAAGAAATTTCTTATTGCTCTGGTGTTCATTAGTGTGTAGAGTTGGTTGACTTCAGGGACCGAGCGCCTGGCGGACTGAATGTCAGAAAATACCACGTTGTGTTGATCCACTCTGCCTAGCAAGAAAAGAGGAATGTGTTTGCTTTTACATCTTGCAGTCAGCGATGCTATCAGAAACATGACGCTGCTGGATTCATAATATAACAAGATAAGGTCCAGGGAGGAGGATTATCAAGGCCAGAGGGGTGCAATAGGATTGGAGAACATGATGCCAATATTTTATCTGCTTGTCAGCAACAATATTCAGTCAGTTCTGCAGGATTGAGACGAATCAAAGAGGATGTTTTCGGAAAATGAAACGGAAAACAGTAGCAGTGTTAATTTTGACAAGGAATTTTTATTTAGCTTTAATTTTTGTCTTTTGACAGAATTATTTTTTTAATTTTAGCGACAATTTAGTCATCCAATTTGTTTTAATTTTAGTCTTATATTCAACTACAATAGGAAGCAATTTTAGTCGACAAAAATATATGTTTATTTTCAACTTTATTTTCATTTATTGACATTAAAATAAATATACAAAACTAAATTGCTAAAAGCCAAAATGAAAAAGGGGACAGAAAGAGGAAAAACGTGTTATCTGCCCCTCTTAACTAAAATAACATCAATACAAATGAAACAATCATATGATTCTTAAAAAATTTGAACCATATAGTTTCTGGACTGGTTGGCCGACACAACCTCAACCCATGAATTGAAAAAAGAGAGAAAACAAGTTACACAGAAAGACGTGTAGGGTTTTACTACATACTAGAATCAACACTGTTTGCTATCAGTTGTAGATTCTGAGAATGACCGAGCAGATTAGCATATGAAGCTTATATCATGCATAAATATCCAGGATATAATCGATTTAAGTTCATACACCAATTTACTTGGTCTATTTTTATTCCAAAGATTAATGTTTAATTTAAGATAATTACATTTAATAGCAAAAGTTTATTTTTGAATCAGAAGCTAGGAATCTTTGCTTTTTCAATAACCAGAAATATTTATACCGTTCTGTGTTCCATTTCAAAGAATGAGGCAAAGTTTAAAAATGAAGAATTTATTACTAACAATTTTAAACTTGACGATTAGAAATGACGATTCATGGATGAAAATTTAATTACAATTTTTAACAGCTTTGATATTAAACTTGTTTTAAAAGGCAAACCTGAGGCTGGATGAAAGCTAAACGGAAAATACGAGTTTGGATGCGTGAATGAATTTCTCAGAAGGTTTCTTTCAGAGATAGGAACACGTTCTGGGTTGGAAATGATGGTTTTGCAGCTAACTGTTGTTACTTAGAGAAAACAGCATCAAACACAATCTGTCAGAATGTCTACCTCACCCAGTATAGAAGACCCCCTTTTTGGATCCGAAGTGTTAGGTTGAGATGGTTTCCTCCAGGCACGAGGTTGGTAGAAGAACCTCTGGTGCGCCCAAATCGGTCCTGAGATGTTTCCTTGGGTCACTCGACTGGTGGAACTATTTGCGTCTCCAAATCAATAACTCTGAAGGAGTTTTTGCGTCAGCTGGTTACAGTTTATTCAAAGCTTATTCTATCAGTGTGACAGAACAGCAGGTGGAGTTATTTTTGCTGGACGCCGGAGCACCTCCGCAGTCAATGGACAGGAATCACAACCGCCCAACAGGAAAAGGAGCAAGCACGACTTCCGTTATTTCACAAATCGATAAACAAAAGGCGTTTTTTGTTTCATATGCACAGGTTTAACAACTTTTAACAACTATCAATGGCGGCTGAACTTTAAATGCACAAAAGTAAGCCATAAATACAGTTTCCACTATGAAAGTAGTCACCCTTTGTTGATCCAAACACTGCTGATCTCTCAACACAAATGATGGGCAGATTAAACAGTTCATTTCGATGCTTCTCCCACACAACGGGTGTTTGGATCCAACTTCCGCGTTTATTGCTCGGACTGTATCGCAAGATCTCGAAAATCCCGCGCATGCCTGTTTGCCCACTTCAGGTCTCCGCACCGGAGCGGAGCCGTTGTAGAGCGGGTACCAGTAAAAATTGAGTTCGGAAGCAAGCGGCTGCGGAGGGCGGGGGCGGACCGGAGCGGAGGTAGTGGAATTTGGGGGTTAGGGCGGCCGTCCCTTATCCTCCTGTGATGGTAGTTGGTTCACGAACTGAAGTTTTGCTGCTGGAAAGTTAGTTTTAACAAACCCCTCAGAACACGCCCACTCTCAGAGCAAGAAAGCTTTGGTCATGAGTCAAAAAACATGTGATGGCAGTTAACCTTTACTCTGGATCAGTTCTGTGTTGGATGGATAAGGTGGAAGTTGACCTTCTGATTTGCTGAACACACGTTACTGATCACCAACCATAATCATAACTATACCCAAAGCATAATAATTCATTTCAGTAATTAAAATACATTTATACTGAACCAAGTGATTATTTATGATGATTATAATAAACAGTAATAAAGCCAAAGAGTTTATTAATATTATTATTTAGATTATTATCATGAAATTGAAGTGTCCTTCTTCTGGGTCGGAACAGCAGCAGATAAAGGATGATATTCTTTAAACATCAGGACTCCTGGGTTAATCTGTGGAACTAAAAGTTAGTCTGACCCAGCTTGACCTAGCTGGGAAAATGTGACCTTTGTCACAAATTAGAGGCTATTCATCACGCTACAGAAACATAAAGTTATATACATATATACTTACATATATACACATATGCATACATAGAATTGTTCATGTCCTTTTAAATCATATTTTCTATGTTTTTTTGTAAATCTTTTGATTAAATCTGCAGGTGCGTACCTTTTGTTTACATTATACATAAATTTTAAAATATTGTAGTCACCAGATCATAGAATATTAGTGTTTTTAATTTTATAAATAATGGGTTGGACGGATCTCTGTAGTTGCTCCTTGTGATTATTCTTATTGCTTTTTTCTGTAAGATGTAAATGGAATTTGTTAAGTTTTATATGTTGTTCCCCAGATTTCATTAAAGTAGTTCAGGTATGGTATGATCAGTGAGTTATATAACAAATATATATGTAACCATTTTGCTCTATGTAACAGTGCAACAGTTTTAGATATTTTAGTTTTGACACTGTTTATGTGAAGTTTCCAAGACATTTTTTCATCAATGATGACTCCCAGATACTTGACTTCTTTAACTCTTTTAATATTAATCTCATCTATGTTTAATAAAATTTAATCATTTGAATATGTATTACAAAACATCATAAAACATGATTAATCACTGTTTAATGATAGTTTGTTCCCATCAAACCATAGTTTAATTTTTTTTTCATCTCTGTTTGTGTCACTTCTATCATCTGTTCAACATTATCTCCTGAATAGTAAAAAGTTGTATCATCTGCAAATAAGGTGCATTTTAATATATTCCTTCTCATGCAAATATTTTCACTTCTGCAAAGGAAATGTTAACTACACCTACTTGAAACTGTAAATAAATGCAAATTTTTACATTTGGATCAATAAAACTCTATATTTATAATTGTTTTATTAACAATAATTGATTTGTTCTTTTCTAGTCTAGTTCTGCCTGTTCCATTTGCTGATTGGTTCTTTTGTCTTTTCCGCCCATCATTCCTGTTTTATGATTGGATTTATTGTCAGTTTTCACTGTATTTTATTTGTCAACGAAAATGTTGATCGATATTTGTCATAATTTTGTTTTAATAGATGTAATAATTTTTTAGTTTTGATTTAGTTTTCATTCACAAAATTTCAATCATCATGAAAAATACAAACATATTTTGTTGTTGTGCTAGTGTTTCCGACCATGTTGTATTAATGGCAGCTAATATTGTAAAGCTATTATAAAGATTTATTGATCTGCAATAAGTAAGTTAGAAATTTCTGAAAAGGGTAAAATGTAGATTTCCTTGATTTCTAACTAAATCTGCTAAAATAAACAGCAAAATGGGTAAAAATAGGTGGATAATTTTATCAGAAATACTCAAATGTAGTTATTTTTATTTGAATCTGACCAGCAAAATAAAGAAAAACGGTGTACCTTGTATTCTGTCCTTTAAAAAAGTTTAACAGATATTTACACTACCACTGATGCGTTTTTTAAAACCCAGATTTGTTTTAATAGATCATTGTAAATATTATTTTATTATTCTGTTTGTTGCATTTAAAATATTTGTTTTATTAATTTTCATTAAAATTATACATTATAAAAATTGTACTTACTTAATTTTTTAAAATCTCAATTAATTTGATGTTTTATCTTATTAAGTTCATGTGTCTGCTGTGATGCAAGCGCTGTACCAATCTGTCGTAGTGAAGAGAGAGCTGCGCCAGAAGGCAAAGCTCTCGATTTACTGGTCGATCTACGACTACCCTCACCAATGGTCACGAGCTTTGGGTGGTGACCAAAAGAACGAGATTGCCGACAAGTGGCCGAAATGAGTTTTCTTCACAGGATGGGCTCCCCCTTAGAGATAGGGTGAGAAGCTCGGTCATCCAGGAGGGGCTGGGCGTAGATCCGCTGCCCCTCCACATCGAAAGGAGCCAGTAGAGCTGGCTTGGGCATCTGGTCAGGGTGCCTCCTGGATGCTTCCCTGGTGAGGTTTTCCAAGCACGTCCAACCTAAGGAGACCTAGCTAGGGAGCTAGGGAGAGGGAAGTCTGGGCCTCCCTGCTTAGGCTACTGCTCCTGCGACCCGACCCCGGATAAGCAGCCAAAAATGGATGGATGGCAGTTCATTTTAAATGTATTTTATATTTAATGATTGTCTTCGTGTCCTACAGCTCAGAGTCCACATTTCTGTTTCTTTCAGATCGTCTCACAGAGAAAACTGACCAAAGCTCTTCTCAAGCAGGGAAACACTACTGGGAAGTCCTCCATAATGGTATGATGCTGCTTCCAAAGCTGTCTAGTTAAACACAGACAGACACACACACACACACACACACACACACACACACACACACACACACACACGCACGCACGCACGCACGCACGCACGCACACACACACACACACACACACACACGCTCTGAAGATAATTAATTTGATGAGGTTGCTTCACCAATCTGTTCTGTTCCTCATTTCCATCTCATTTCCCCACACCTCTCTCATGCTTCCTTGTAAATCTGCCTTCCTGACACCCCCCCCCCCCCCCCATCCCCCACCCCTCCCCTTTCCCTCCACACACCACCTCATCCACATAGGTGACAGCAGAGGAGTTGTCCGGTAATGACGATTACGTTGAACTCTCGTTTAGTGCTCGAAAACTTGATGACAAGGTTTGTGGGTAGAAGTTTTCTGATGTGAGAAAACAGCCAATTACTGAGTGTGTGTGGGTCCATGTGTGTGTGTGTGTGTGTGTGTGTGTGTGTGTGTTTGTGGACTCTGAGATCTGATGATGAAGCCTTTCGGGGAACCCACAGGAGGACAATCTGGTATTAAAGGAGGCCAGTTGAGATAGGTGGACACCTTCCCTTCTCCAGTAACCTCCTTTTATCTCAACCACCCCCCACCGAACACACACAGACACCCACGCAAACACAACTATATTAATTTTTGGCTTCCACGTTCACATCCACATGCACAGCCATGGATGATTAATCCCAACAAGTTGTGCTCAAGGGAAATGATGGAGTGCAGAGAGGGAGGAGTGGATGAATTGGAAAAGACAGGAGAGGGATGGGAGGATGAAACAAAAAGGAAAGGAAGGAATAAAAGGTGAAATGATGGTCCTGATAGCGTATGAATGATTTATGGCGATCAAAGGCACTTCTGAGGGAATCCTTAATGTCTGTGTTCTCTCTCTGAAGGATTTCTTCAGTAAGTCTGATCCTTTTCTGGAGATTTTTAGAATAAATGATGATGGAACAGAGTCTCTTGTGCACAGAACGGAGGTAATCACAGATCATTTACACACACACAGAAAAAAGCTGCCGTTTCAGGTCTGATGATAACAAAAATGTTTTTATTTGTTTGCGTGTGCAGACGGTTATGAACAATCTGAGCCCCGTTTGGAAATCCTTTAAAGTCTCCTTGAACACACTCTGCAGTGGAGACCACGACAGAGAGCTGAAGGTGAGTTTCCAACTACTTTTGGATTTTTACAAGGCAAAACAATGAATTTAATCAAAACACAAACCCCAAACAAATCAAACCTGCAGCACTCTGTGTGGAGAAACCTTGAATATAAACCTTCCATTGTTTCAGTGAGGAGCAAAAGTCGTTTAGACCAAGGCCAAAAAACCCCTGAATGCTGCTGAGGTTTTCTTTCTTTTGCAGGAGATTTGACTTGTTATCACATAAAAGACAAGTGATCTATTACGCGTTTACCACATACTGTGCCACGCGCAAGTTTGGATACTGTTACCAAGGTTATAGATCCTAATTAGGTCTTTGTGGCTGACTCCCAGTGTCTTATATGGAAGCCAGAATGCAGGAAACAATTGAAATAAAGCAGGTTCAGCCTGAGTCTCAAGGATCAAGAAAACATTCAGAGAAAGATTCCCCAAGCGTTACCTGGAGGGTGGATCAAAACATTCTACAAAAAATGTTTCAAAGAGATTCTTCAGGCTCTGATGTGGTGGTTTAGAGTTCTGCAACAACAAGCTGCAAAAATAAATCTTTAATACAAGTCAGGAAAACAACTTTTCTGTATCCTAACCACAGATTTCTGCTTCAGATTTGCTCTTTGGATGCAATTTTGTCTTTTGACATTGGAGCAGGTCTAAACATTTACAGAGTTGTATGAAAATACCACGTCTCCCATTGTTAAGCACAGTGGTGGGCTGATCATGCTTTGGGATTTATGCTACAACCAAAAACAGAGTGAAAAACGCAGAGATCTGAAAACATAGTGTAGCAGCTAAAACTACTTAAAATACAAAGTGCAGCTAAAAAAGGAACAATAACGTAGGGATGCTACAGCAAAATAATCATAAAACAGTCTAATATTTGAGTCATGTTGAAAAGATTACATTGAAACAGATTTCCTTCTCAGACGGGGGGGGGGGGGGGGGGGGTGTTCTAAGAGTGGATATAGCTACTGTTTACAATAGGGAGCCTGTCCCACCCATCTTCCTCTACACCACGGGTCCCTGGAAATAAGACAAAATGAATGCAAGTCACTTGTGCTATAAATGCTAATTTCTAATCCCATTTGTTATTAGCCATGATGTTCACATATGATGTCTGAATTTTAATGACACATTTTGTTGCCCTTATTTTCAAAAGGTTGTAAAGATTATTTTAGGTTTTGTGTGAAAAGAAATGTAGGACTACAAATGTTTGTCACACCAAATTAGGGTTGTCACGGTGTGAAAATTTAACCTCACGGTTATTGTGACCAAAATTACCACGGTTTTCGGTATTATCGCGGTATTTTTTTAAACGTGCTACATTTTCACACAATTAAATAAACTCTGTATATGTCAGGAAATATTGTCCTCAGTTTGTGTCTAAATTTTGCCTAAAATGTGTTATTTTGTAATGATGTTGTTTATTTGTTTACATTTTTCCCCTTTAGTCTTTAAAATACCAATATTTGCCCATAACTTCTTATTTTATGTCTGTTTGATGTCATCATTTTAAAAATATTAGATCAGATGATACTCAGTACTCAAGTAGCCTTCTAATCAGATACTTTTTTACCCTTACTTGAGTAATAAACACTATATCAGGAAAATATTGTCCTCGGTTTGTGCCCTTCCAGTGAGCTCTGCAGATGTGGGAAAATGTCATCAGGCAGTAATAATTGTTAAATTCATAATTATTCTCGGAGAGAGACCAACTCTTATCTGCCCCTGGGAGCCCCGTAATGCATAGGTCATTTCAACATGGCGGTGTCCGCGACACGGTTTATATGCAGGTAGCGGCGCTGCGGCTGCTTTATATAGCGACTCGTTGCATTCTCCCTCAACCCAAATCCTCGGATCACGCATTTTAGCTAAAACGCTAACGTTAGCTTGCCTTGCGTTGACTGTAGAGTTGTGGGTGATGGTCACGCAGATGTGTCATGAGATTTGAAGCGTTGCTGCCTTTCACAGACACTTTTTCTGCACGTGCTGCAAACAGGACAGCCGTCTTCTATCAGCTGTCCCTCGGCATTCTTCAAATATCCAAAAAATGCCCGTACTTCCCACTTTGTCTTCTTTGAGGGATAATAAATGTCCTGAGCGCTGCCGTCTCCTCCTTTGGCCATTATTTCAGCTTTAGCTTCAAGAAAGTTTTGGTTGTAAACAACAAAGTGCGCATGTGCCGCCGGCAACTTCAGCAGATGATACGGTGGCTGGTAAGGGTCACCGCGCCTACACCGCAGCCACGGTAATCCACCGAGATAATATAGTTTTTATAAAACAAGACGGTTATTATTATTGTCAACTTTTTTACCGGGGTGTACCGCTACACCGGTTACCGTGACAACCCTACACCAAATAGAAGTCATCAAACCAGACACAGAGAAGAACATAAGATTAGTTTAGTGAGTTTCAAATCCTTTTCCCAGGATGACAGAAGGTGCATTAAACATGGAGGAAACTACTATAAATCTGACCATGTTGTAAGTAGGAGCTACGATAGGGGAGAAGAGATGCTACTTATCAAACGTCCAGATTTATGGTGGTTCTTTTCTCCTGAAAAAAGATTTGAACTTACAGCCATTTCCCCTCCGTCTCTGTTTTATCATGTTCTGTGGTTTTCTTTTGACCCACGACATGCAGAATCAGAGACGGAAACAGGGAGGTAAGAAAATAAATAATTCATTTTAGATTGGAGAACTCAAAGCGCTGCAGGAAGCACCAGGATGTTCTAAAGAAGAGACGAAGGTTAATATCCGTGAGAGATGATGGGATGGATAACTGAAGGTCTAGGCTTACTGTAAGGAGGTGGCTAGAGGGCGTGCGAAGGAGCACTGGTTGGTCTATGAAGATGGGTTGCAAAGGGGTCTTGATGAAGACGAGGTCCAGAGTTCCTGTGTGGTGAGCTTGAAGGGTTAGGCGGTAGGGGCGTGGTGGAAAGCGTACAGCCAGGAGTTGGAGCTGCATGAAGTGGAGCTGATGAGAAGTTCTCGGAGATGGCTGGAGGAGATGGTTCCTTGAAGGGATAAGAGGAAGGATTATTCTTGGTCCTAATCTATTAGAAATCTGCTTCACAAAACATTTCTTAGTCTACATCTTAGTCTTAGCTTGACAATAAATGTTTAATCTGGCTCGAACTACCCAGGTTGAGTAATCATCCGGCAAGAGTGTTGAGGAAGTCAGCTCCTTAAATACACCCTGGAGGATGATTGGAGATGAGCTGCAGCTGGCCGTTGCTCCTGCCCTCCAGACACGCCCACCTGCAGACCCTTAGACCTAAAAACATGGTGAGAATAAAAACAGCCCGTGACATGTTTCTGGTTCGATGACGTCACTGGTGATGAGCTAGTCCTGGATTTATTTTCCCACAAAATCTAAAACCTGTTCGAATATAAGCTCTTTTTTGGTGTCAAAGTGCGTCTTTAAAATTCACAGATATCATGTGTAAAATCCATGGCACATAATAAGCGGAATTAGAAAATAGCATTTTTAGCCCCATTCACTTGCATTCATTTTCTCATTCTTCCGGGGACCCGTGGTCCGGAAGTAGATGACTTAGTAGGAGACTTAGGCTCCCTGTAGTGAGTCAGTGGTAGAGTTGTGTTGCTGTTATCCAATAAGAGGCGAGATGTCCAAATATCAGGACAGGAGACTCCAAATTCGCCGTGCTCTGCTCTTCTTTGTTGTGACATTGTGTTAGATCCTAAAACAGGTGCATCAGGGGTCTCATTTATCAAACATGGCACAGAATCCTTACTAAACCGTACTTAAGCTCAGCAAAAAAATTACTTACACCAAGTAGGTTTGTGATCTATCAAACATGGAGGACGCACAGCTGCACACAATCTCCGCTTCATAAATCAGAAACTATCTAGAAAGTTTCTCAACTGCATTTTAGTCACATCCTGCCCTCCCCACGCCCACTTACTGCCATAAATAGTCAATGCAAAGTACCTTCTGGATCTCATGCATATACATAAGCCGGCTGCTGCAGCGCTCTGCCACTGACGATGGCGACCGTAGATCAAGGCAGATCAAGGAAGCGCTATTTCACAGAAGCAGAAGTTGAGGTACCTGTGGGTGAGGTGGAGAAATGAAAGGAAGTGAATGGTAAATGGTAAATGGCCTGTATTTGATATAGCGCCTTCTAGAGTCCTGGAACCCCCCAAGGCGCTTTACAACACAATCAGTCATTCACCCATTCACACACACATTCACACACTGGTGGGGATGAGCTACAATGTAGCCACAGCTGCCCTGGGGCACACTGACAGAGGCGAGGCTGCCGAGCACTGGCGCCACCGGTCCCTCCGACCACCACCAGCAGGCAACGTGGGTTAAATGTCTTGCCCAAGGACACAACGCCAGCGACAGACTGAGCGGGGCTCGAACCTGCAACCTTCCGATTACGGTGCGAGCGCTTAACTCCTGTGCCACCGTCGCCCCGAAGTGCTTTTGCAAAACAAATAAGAGAAAATCCACGGAGTGGCACAGCGTTGCTGAAGCCGTCAATGTTGTGAGTTCTTCAGAGAGATCTGTGGCGAATATAAAAAAATGGTCTGATTGGGATTCGATCCCCAGACCCCCAAGTGAATATCACGCTCGCTTACTAGTCACCCAAACAGAGATCTCCCTTGTCCAACTAGCCAGGGTGCCTGATCAATCGGGTCACAGTGACAGGACACACACTGTCACAGGCGCATGACATTCTGTCTCAATCTGTCCCCCTGCTGATATTCTGCATTCCGTATTCTGCGCTTCAGGCTGTGTGTGTGTGTGTGTGTGTGTGTGTGTGTGTGTGTGAGTGTGCACGCACGTGTGTGTGTGTGGGGGGTCTTTTTCTGTGTAAAAACGAAGCAGTACAAGCGATAATGCTGCGGGATTTCATAATTTTATCCTCAGCAGCAGCACTGCAGGTGCTCTCCATGTCCAACATGTGTGTAAGCCAGGTCCTTAGTCAACTTAAAGTTGCGCACATTTTCTGCTAAGTTTTCTTTTATAAATCCCAAAGTTTGCGTGGAAAGTTGCTTACGCAGTTTTCCGACCCCGTTTTGAGCGTAAGCAAGCTTGATAAATGAGGCCCCTGGGCATTTCCCCCCTGAGTACGACTTGCAAGGCATTCATTCCTACTAAAGTCCACTGAAAATGTATTGACTGAGTGTCCCACACCTTTAGGCTTACCTCAAAACATCTGAAGCTTTTGAATATAGTTTATTATTTTTGTAAAACTCATGCATGCAGCCCAAACCAAAAGGATATCCTAGAGGTTATTTGAAGGTGGTGTGGTCTGTAGATAGATCCAGGGTATGAGCTAAATTCATTTCCTTTTTATTGAGACCTACTGAAGTATTGTGCCATACCATACCACACCACTTTTATATATAAAGGGTTTTTAACATGGCATTAAAGCCAACCAAAGTGCTGCACCTAAAGCATTAAATAATCACATTATCATAAAAACAATATAAAAATTGTACAACAAAAAATGGTCAACCAAACAAGCTGAAACCGTAAAAACAGACCACAGATTTAAAATAAAGGGGATGTATGATGAGGATGAGGGATGAGGGGTGGTAGAAGTGGAGGAGTTTGCACAGATAGGGAGGGGCCTGACTGTTGTTGAATGCAAGGAGCAGAACATTGAAATTAATTCTGAATTGAACGGGCAACCAATGCAGTGACTTGAGAATGGGTGTGATGTGCTGTCATCTGTCAGCTCCAGTCAGGAACCTTGCCGCCGAATTCTGGATGAGCTGAAGTCTGGGCAGAGCAGATTTACCGATGCCGTATGAACAGGAGTTGGAAAAGTCTAGCCAGGATGTGATGAAGGCTTGAATCACTGACTCTTGAAGACAAACACTCGGGATGGGCTTTAATTTAGAAGTTCGCCTAAGGTGGTAGAAGCGGGAGTTAACTATGCTGTTGACCTGGGCGTCCACCTTTGGAACCGGGTCTATTTTTACTCCCAGATTTGAAGCCGAGAATTTTACACAAGGAGAAAGAGAGTGGAGGTCAGGCGACTGCGTCGCTCTAATGTTGCCAGGTCTAAAAACGATTACCTCTGTTTCAGAGTCATTCAGATGGAGGAAGTTCTCAGCCAACCATTCCTTCACATCATGACAATCAAACAGAAGCTTAGTGGAGTCGGTGGGTTTAAGAGAAAATTGATTTGTCAGTTGTCTGCAGATGGTGTGAAATAGCATGCTGCATGAGAATGGCTCCTAAAGGCAGAATAAAGAGGGAATTATTTATTCTTCCGACTCTTGGAGAGTACAGACGCTTTTTTCCTCCTCTCCTCCCTATCTTATCCCAAGGCTCTTTGTCTGTCTTTGGGTGTACGGCGCTTCTGCATTTTTTCTGGAAAACTGGAAATTATTAAAAATGGACCTGGTCAGTTGGTCTCTCAACAAGATTGACACAATTTTTTCAATGATGAGAACGGGAGAAGGGGCTCCCGGATGTCCCTCTGGGGCAGAGCCAGCTGGGCGTATCATGGACTCCTGGAAACAGTGGAACCTGATCTGCCTCTCTCAACTGTCTGTAGAGGATTCTGAAGACATCTGGATATACGTGGTGTTGGTGTCAGGTTTCTTGCTGTTTGGCCTGAATGGTTATCTGGCTTACCGGAAAATTAATGAGCTGTCGAGGAATATTGGCTCACTCCCGTAGCTCAGGGATGGATTACACCGCACTGTGAACGCACAGAGTCATATAATTGTCGAGATGAGTCGTAAGCTTGGAACTTTGGCTGAGATTCATGCTCTGGCACAGAAGGTGGATTCGATCAAGGAGCGAGTTGACGGGTCAGCACGGGTTGGGATTGATTAACTACGCCATTATTGGATTTAGAGGGGTTGAGGACCAACGGAACTTTAAGACAGAGAGGAAATTATCTCTGCCTGGCCCCCCAAAAAGTTCTTATCTGAATCTGGTGCCCTTGAGCCTGTGAGGCTGAAGCGATAACTCCCCCTCAGAAGAAATGTGGAATGCTGCCGTCGCCATGGCAACTCTGTCTCCCTATCCCAGCCTGGGCGGGACTGCGACTGGTGAAGGTCGTGGAACCGTTTCCAGGAGTCACTGTGCTCTCTAACCCAATTACCTCCATCCCCCGTCCAGACGGAGGTGACGGGCGCTGCTCATCGTGGCTGCATGCACTGATGTGTGGAGAGTCCCCAACCCTACCTCCCCACCTAGTGGACACTTATGTTGTGTAATGTCTGAAATCTGTTGCATTTCTGTCTGAGGTGTTTTTTGCATAGCAAAGCTGCCCTCCCTGTGGAGGGTAACTCTGAAGTGTCTTTTTTTCCTCCACCTGACCCAATCCTCATGTAAACCCCTCTGATCTCTATTAAGGTAGCGCGACTCGGGTTGCGAATGACCACAGTCACCAATTCTTGTCATGTGTCTATGTCTATGTATGTCTGATCTCAGAATTGTGTGTATTGAAACTCGGATTTCCCTCTGGGATTAATAAAGTATCTTTGAATTGAATTTGATTGAATTGAAAACAGCAACAGGCCGAGAATGGAGCCTTGAGGGAACCCCCAGGGAAGGGAAACTGACCGGGATGAGTAGTTGTCCAGCATGACCCTGGTTGGTCCTGTCAAATAAGTACAACCGGAACCCGTCAAGGGCCAAACCTGAGATGCCAGCCCATGTGTGTGTGTAGTCTGGAGATCAGGATGATATGATTGATCATATCAAAGGCTGCTGATAGCTCAAGAAGCATTAGAACCACATGGGACCCTGAATCCAAATCCATAAAGATGTCACTAAACACACAAACATGAGCCGTTTCTGTGCTATGATGTTATCTAAACCCATACTGAAAGATGTCCATTACTTGATGGTCATTTAGAAATAGTAGTAACCTTTCATGCACAACCTTTTCAAGTACCTTTGATAAAAATGGTAATTTGGAAATTGGTTGCAGATTTGAGAAAATAATAATAAATACTGTTGTTCATTCACTCAATGTGTGCTGGTATTGGTTGATGCACCAGTTCTGGTTTAGTCATTTCAACATGACACCTTTAATTTGTGAAATACTTAACTTTTTTGCCACATTTCAACTGCTCTCTTGACATTTTGCTTTAATCTCAACATTTCCTTTGAGTGGCCTTAAAATGCCCACTGCGTCATATGTGATACACACAATTCTAATTTTGTAGCAGCTGTATCTCTTTAGCAAGATTAGCATTTTCCAAAACAATTTGCAGTCTTAAATCTGGGATTTCTGCCTGCTCTTGGATTATATATGTACTTAAGTGTCAAGTGGTATTTTATTTAGTATAATTATTGTTGTATTATTATAAAATTGCTTGATAAATGTAATATGAAAGTTAATAATTGTTATATTATCATTACTAATCAAATGTTTACAATTGTAATAAATTTGAGTCTTTTGAATAATATGTGTTGGGTCTTAAAGGGCATTGCTGCAAGAAAGCAGGACAGAAAAAGTCACCTTGAGCCACTTTGGCCTTCTGTTGCAAAACATTAAGACAAGGGTGCAGGAACCTTTGCACAGGTCTGTATTAAAACAGAGTTTAACAATGCAGAAGGGTTAAAACGAGTCATCCCCTCAACGATGATTTCAGGTCATGTGCATCCCGATGTGTCATTTAAAGGTCTCTGTGGTCATCTTAAACTCTTAACCTTCACTCGTCTGAGACCCACGTGTGTTCGCTTGGAAAGAGCTGGCCTCACATCAGCTGTGAACAATTATTCCCCTCATGAATAAACATGAGCTTTGTTCATGAAATATTAAAAGGCTTCTTAACTCCGCAGGCTCCTGACAGCAGGAGAAAGGGCTCCAGGCTCAAAAAAGCACGTGGACGCCGCCAGCTGTGGTTTCCACGGCTACCTGTTGGAAGCATCAGTCCTGGTGCGGAAATGGCAGGGCAGAGATTACTATTCAGACCGAGGTCCTAACTGACCGATGCATAAATGCATAACTCTGCTTTGCAGCGTCTGGCCGCCTCTTCCTGTGTTCGTCTTCTCACTCCTGTCTTCACCGCTTCATTAGTCTCTTGCGCACCTCTCAGAAGCTTGAAGTGGAAGCGGGCTGCAGGCGCTAGCGCTCACTGGCCTCCTACACAGATACTAGAGTCAAGAAATAAAAGGAAAGCAGTCACGAGTCGCACACAATGACAAAAGGGCATGCCTGCTTCAAGTCGAGCTTAAGTGGCAGACAGGAAATAAGAGGATTATTGCCGTCTTTGTTTTTAATCAAGCCCCGTTGGACTGGTTCTGATTGCCAGCTGCTGGTTTGACCGTAAACAAGAGGGTCACGAGCTTCGGCAGTGAACTGGCTCGTTCCCTCCCATTAAATCACACAGAACAGACTACGTTCTAAACCACTACTGAAAGCAGTGGGGCAGTCAGTGTGTTTGTTGTAAAATCATGGGCCTTCTTCCCTATGAGACGCCTGCGACCTGCGACCCTTGCTCGATTGCTGTCATATATATTGTCAAGTTGCTCCTTTGAGAGAAACAGACCATTATGTCCAAACAGAGACACTCATAAAGCTGTTTCTTAAGCCTCTCAGCATCCTCGGATTAATATTTCACTGCTCCATGGCCCCCCCACCAACATCACCCCATCAATCATTCAGCATGGCATTTCTCTGTGTGCTGAAGCTGTGCTGTAGCAGCTGATGTGTGTGTTTTGTGTGTGTGCCAATTCCTGCTCCAGTGCACCGTTTGGGACTGGGACTCCAACGGCAAACATGACTTTATTGGAGAGTTTCAGACCACGTTTAAGGAGATGATGAGGGCAGAGCAGGAGGGTAAACAGGTAGGAGGGTCCACACTCCAAAATGAAGTGTGCTGCATGTGTAATTGAGTGTGCTGTTCCCTCTAAGTGCCACATATTACTAGTTTATCATGTTTATTTTGCCAGATCCAGTGGGAATGCATTAACCCAAAGTATCAGATGAAGAAGAAGAACTACAGAAACTCCGGCACCGTCATTCTCAACCACTGCAAGGTGATGCTGCACAACAACCTCTACACACTCAGATATTTATTTCCTTTATGTGGCCAACAGCTGGTTGCCACCAATAATATTGGATCTTTCAGGATACTGCTTTTGTTCAGTAATTATTTAAAAACCGTTTGAAATACGATCGGGAACAATCAGAGTTTCACATGCAGACTGAACATGAAAATATTCCTCTTCCCTATTTCCTTCATTGTCCACCGATAGAAAATAGACAGAAAAATGGTCGGGTCAGAAAAAGTCATGCATATCTAAGTTACATTGTAAATTAGCATTCATTGATTCAACCATCTTGAGGTGGAGAGCACGTTTCTGCTAGTAGAAGCTAACCATTAGCATTAGCAGCTCCACAACAAGGCAGATCTCCTTCAGGTTTTTATCTTTTGTGGAGATACTGTAAACCATCAATGGCAGAGTTAACCAATCAGAGGCGATACATTTGCAAATCATAAATATTGATGAGTTAGACTCAAAATCCTGAAATCCTCCAACGAACTTCTAGTCCTGATATCGGGCGCGAGAGCTATTTTCTCACCCAGAGAACGACTCACAAGGCATTCATTCACACTAGACACCAGGAGCAGTAGTCCACAACATCGAGTGCCAGTATATTTTACCAAATGTTGCAGTATTATGTGAGATTGTGCCATTTTTAAAAGATCTTACCAAAATGGATATAATTGATCAAAATCTTAACCCTTACCCTAACCCTTGACACAAAGGGGGATGGGGAACATGCACTCCTTCAACGAATGGCCTTTAACTGTCAGCTATCAAAACGCAGCTTTTTCCATTATCCAACCCAAGGCCCAGACACCTAGTACCATCCCTTTATCCCAAAGCCTAATCTATACTTCTCCGTCAGCTCCACGTGCGAGAGACACGCACACATGGACGGGGACGTTTTGCCTTCAGACTTCTCCGTCTCCTGTGGAGTGTTGCAAAGCAATTCCCTGCCAGGACAACAGAGGGCGTAGTGCTGTTCTGTGGTATCCTGTCATGTATCCGGTCCAAGATAGTGTGTTTATTGTGTTTTTTTATTTTTTTATTTGTATTTGAGAGACTTTTTAACACAGACAAATTCGTCACTCATCCTCCTCCGCCTTCATGCACTCGCCACCTCTGCTGTGTATCTTTTTACTCCTCCAGTCAAATGGGAATAAAACATTCATATTTTTAGAGTTTTTCCACAATGTATTCTTCAAGCTGCTTCGTGTCTGTCGCTAGATATCCTCAGCTCTTTTTGTTTTTGAGGAAGCAATGGCGGCACTGTAGACGACATCGGCGTCCTAACCAATCACAATTGCGTTCTTTGTCTCGGCGGACAGATGTTTAGAAAAGAAAGCTTGACTTTGTCTGTTCTTGCGAGCCTGTTGGAGAGCCCCCAAAAGGACAGATTATGGCATTGCGTGTGTCTGTCCTGACCAGGGGCGGATTTAGGACTGAAGAAGATCCGGGGCTTAACTCACACACGCGCATATGCACGTGCGCACACACGTGACACGCACTAGTCAACATATATATATGTCTTGTACCACATGATTTTTAATCTGAAGCTACATATTCAGCATATTCAGGGCAGAGTATTGTTCCTGTTAGTGTTTAGTGTGAGATGATAGTAAATATTCCCTTTCTTTCTCCATCAACTTTACCTGATAAGCTAACTTTAGGCAAACCAGCAGCACAACAAATATTTTCAAATTAGACTCACAAACCTGAGTCAGCACCAGTCTCATCAAAGCTGGGGTTCTGTCGCCGTACTTTTTGTCTAAAAAACGTCCTTATGTCCATCTTCACTCATGCGTTTCAGGCAGAGAGTGTAGAAGAAGCCGGCTGCTGAAGGGCTTCTTCTTCAGTGGTGGAGGCTCAGGCTGGCTGAATACAAACTACTGCCAGCTGCTCCCTCTCTGTTGGACTTTGGTACTGCATGTTACTTCCACGATTTAGATCCGGGGCTTTCCATGAAACATCCGGGGCTTCAGCCCAAGTAGCCGGGCCTAACGCCGCCCCTGGTCCTGATGCAGATGGAGAAGTATAAATTAGGATTAACCCTCAGGCCCGTAAAGCTGGCCACACCCCTCTATCCTAATCCTAAAGCCAATGTACCGATGCCATCCCTTTTATTGTATTCCCCCGTTTTTCCTTTTTTCTTTCTATTACTAAGCACAGCATACAACAAAACACTCAAAGCACTGTTTGGGTTTCACCCAACTGCGCACATCCATCCACGAGACTTAACTGTCTCATTGCGCATCTCAACTCAATAGGTCGATTGCTGACGGTCTCTCGGCACAACCACCTGCACATGCACTTCCCATAAAGCCAGATACCAGGTGCTCCAGATTGGACCTGATCTTGAGTGAGCATGCACATCTTTGGTTTCCATACCAAACTCTGCGGAGCCATCGGGTGACAGGGGGATTCCATTGAGAACTATCTCACAAACCTCATCCTATCCCTTGACATAAAAGGGGGGGGGGGGGGGGCATGCACTCCTTCAAGGAATGACCTTAAACTGTCATCTTTCTAAACGCAGCTTTTTAAAACAAGCTTTGGGACGAGTTGCCATCTCTGCAGCATGAAGCAGCAACACATTCAAGGTCATAATCTGCATATTAAAGCCATCATGTCTCTGAGTGGCAAGGAAGAGAACATGAAGCTGTTCCTACATTCTTCAATAAAAACACCAAATATTTAAATAAACTGAAGCAAGACATGCCACCCTCCTCTGATTTATTGAGATAAGATCAATATGTAAACAGTTTCTATTGAGAGAATGAAAATTAAACCAGGTTCAACTTTAAATGTTGGCAGTTTTGGAAGATTCTGTTTAACTGGATTTTAAATGTTGTATGTTAAACTTTTCACATGTCTTATGTATCGAAATAACATCAAATAGTTAGAGATCATCTAATGTTTAAAGCAGAGTGTCATTTCAATTCAAACTCTAAATCAATGGTAACAAAAACTATCAACATAATGTTAGCGTTGATTCATAGGACTAATGTTAGGTGCATCTATTAAAGTTTATTCTTCAGTCATAAATAAACTCTTGAACATCACAATGAGTGAAGCTACTAAAATGTTTCATGTGTTATGGCCTCATAAATCCCAACTCTGACCTTTAATTCTCTTCGCTAGTTCATTTCAGTCATGCGAACCAAACCCTCTTGCCTCAGTTACAGCCTTGACTGCTGATCCGTGGAGGCCTGAGGGTTGGTCTGCAGAGTGTTCTCCTAATATTCCCTGGAGCGCCGTGCCAAGGCCTGCCAGCTCAAACACCTGCTTTTTGCTGATAGCTTAGAACTGGTACCAAAAAAATAAATAAACCGTTGCCCCGAATGAGAGCATGATAAAAGCTGGTGATGAAATTTGTAAACCGTCATTGAAAACAGTTATATTTGACATTTTGTTCTGGTTTATTTGTTAGTAAGCAAGCATGCATTCCTTTGGAACAAACACCCGGTCCAACCCTCAAGGCTCAATTATATTCACTTGTAGATGTGCACAGATGCATGTCTTCACAATATCTGTAAAACTCTGTTTGATTCTGTATGCCTAGTGTGTTTTGTAAGTCACTGTTAGGTTGACATTGAAATATTTTGTATATGGATGCAAAAAATTAAATCTGCAAGGTGTCAAAGTCCTCATTCATGTCGCAATCTGATAGAGTTAATCTCTGAGTAAAAATAAAACACAATTGTCCTTCGGGGCTACAAGTCTTCTGATCATCAGTTAAAGGGGACAAAGAATCTAAACAAACATTTTCTTGTTGTGAATAAAGGCAGCTCGGGTGGTCAAACGTAGCATGCCAAAAAGTCAAAGCCGTGTGACCAACTTTTTATGTTAAGTAACTGCCAATGATGACCAAATTCGTCATTTGCACTTTTTTTTTACTGTGTGGGCATCGGAACGAGCCCCCACACCATGAGAACAAACATGCTCTAAAGCTGATCTTCATTCGCATACGTCACACGTCACGTGATCAGGAAGCAGAAAATCCATGTGTTAGGAGATCGTTTTGGGGCGCTGCTGTAAAAAAAAAGTGAGGCGTGAACCAGAAAAGCTTCTGCTGATCACAATTCAACAACGGATTGTGAAAGAACAGATAACACTCGAAACGAGCAGATTCTTCCTGATGTAGGAGGTGAATCTACTCTTTGTTTTGGTAGTTTTGGCTTTGACATTATCATACAGCGCAATGTTCTGTGACTCTTAAAAAAACTGTGAAAACGCTGAAAATCGCTGGCAGCGAAGGGCTTTACTGGTCAGGAAACGGCTGGCGGTGAATGAGTTAAAAATCGTCGTCGTCTTCTTCCTCTTATCAGGGTCCGGGCCGCGGGGGCAGCATCCCAACTAGGGAGCTCCAGACCGTCCTCTCCCCGGCCACCTCCACCAGCTCCTCCGGCAGGACCCCAAGGCGTTCCCAGACCAGATTGGAGATGTAACCTCTCCAAAGTGCCCTGGGTCGACCCGGGGGCCTCCTGCCGGCAGGACATGCCCGGAACACCTCCCCGGGAAGGCGTCCAGGAGGCATCCTGACCAGATGCCCAAACCACCTCAGCTGACTCCTTTCGATCCGGAGGAGCAGCGGTTCTACTCCGAGTCCCTCCCGAATGTCCGAGCTCCTCATCCTATCTCTAAGGCTGAGCCCAGCCACCCTACGGAGGAAACTCATTTCGGCCGCTTGTATCCGCGATCTCGTTCTTTCGGTCATTACCCAAAGCTCATGACCATAGGTGAGGATTGGGATGTAGATCGACCGGTAAATCGAGAGCCTGGCTTTGTGGCTCAGCTCCCTCTTCACCACGACATATCGGTTCAGCGTCCGCATCACTGCAGATGCTGAACCAATCCGCTTTTCGATCTCCCGATCCTTCCTACCCTCACTCGTGAACAAGACCCCGAGATACTTAAACTCCTCCACTTGAGGTAGGACCTCTCTCCCGACCTGCAGTTGGCAAGCCACCCTATTCCAGTTGAGAACC